TAGAAGCCTAGTATATATAAATTATTGGCCGAAAATACTACAACAAGTAGAAAGATTTCTTGACCCCTTTTTCGAAGTATTTTATACACTAAAAGAAGCTTTTAAATTTTTGAAGAGAAATGATAGGATTTAATTTTTTTATATCTGAAAGAGTTAGACGAACAATGCAAACCACTACCTCTCAAACATCATCATCATCTTCAACAATACAACTTTGCGATAGTTGTGAAACTATGATCAAAGTTGTTAGATATTTAAATCTTAAAAAGCATTCATTAGAAAAAAGATTACAGATCCTTGAAGATGGAATTTTTTCATCCCAACAGACTATTAGTAAATATCAAAATGAAGTTCTTCAGTTACAAGATAGTTTAAAATGACTTAATTCTAAATACTCTTGAAAGACCTATTTCTAAAGACATTGTTTCTACAAATAGAAATTATTCTAATAAAATAGAAAGATTCATTGAATTAATAGATTCTACATCTACAGGGCAAGGAAAGACTTTACATGAATTATAATAAAAATTGGTGATTGCGCCAATATTGTGCGAAGTTCTTTAAAGAATTCAGTTGTACAGGTAATTATATATTTTGCTTAATTTTAAGTTACTTTCACAATAAAACACAGATACTTCCTTAAACATGGTCCCAAATACGAATCAACCAAAACTTCTATGATCATTGTAAAAGATAATGAATCATCTGCCAAGGTATCACACTTTTTACCGCTTAGACCAATGATAGAGAACTATATCAAAGAGAAGATCGGTGACATTGTCAAAAAATGCACAAACTCTTTTCATTTGTTATCATTTTACAACTAGCAATTACAAGACATTTTTTTACCCAGCTTTAAGTTTGGCATGATAGATACTATATACATATATATGTTATACAATTCTTTCAGATTTTTTTCCACCAAAGCTTAAACAGATTCTTGATAAGTTAAAAAATCATCCCTAAATGATTCATTTTATTTCCAGACCCCCTATTGTAAATAATGGCATAGTAATTCCAACCTATCATCATATTTTAATATATGAAGAACCCAAAAGATTCAGACCCTCTTCAAAGACTAATACTAAAATAAAAATTAGACAGATTGATTATGAAAGACGAACCTCGAAAATCGCAGCAATGATGAAAGTCCAAATTAATGATTTTAGACTAGTGACACAATGGAATAATAGAGTTTTTTTTTTTTGCCAAGAGCACCTTGCTATGAGAATCAAAACTGGAAAAAATTTCAATGCCAAATATTGAGCAAAAGAATTTATATCTAATGGTGTATTAGGAAACTAATGAAGAATTTGCAAAAACCCAATCAGATATAGAAGAAGAAGAAGAATGCATATCCGATGGCAAAGAAAGTGAAATGGATCCAGAGTTAGAAGAAGCTTACATTGAATGATGGACAGATAAGTGCAAAATTGAGAAAGAAGAAAAGACAAAGCTAAGATAAAAAGATGAAAGATGTAAAGAAAAAGAATAACATTCAATTATTAAGCTAAGTCAACAAAAGGAGGAAACTTGAAGATGTTGTCAGAATGAAAAAAAAAAAGTTGTAAAGTGGTATAGTATCGAAATAATAGACATGATGTACCAACGTCTATAAATACTCATATTACTCACTAAGAAACACAAATCAAGAAAAAAATAAAGCACACTATCACACTTGTACTCAAAAGCCTCTCCATACATTTTGTAAATTCAAAGGCCTCGGAATTAAAATAAGTCATTTTCACACTCTCTATTGTTTATAATTTTCGTCTACTTTATTTATTTTTCGAGCAAGGCCTAATAGAGAAAATACTAAGTAAGTAATTAATTTATTCAGAAAAAATTATAACGCTCTTAAGTTCTTTAATCCGGATCCATGATTAAAAAGATAAAGTAATCCTCCGAATTAAGTTGGTTGTTTTGTATACCGATTATGGGAATGTTTAAGGGTGTGTTTGAATACATTTATTTTCCATGGAAAATATCAGTTTTCCATCCAAATTTTCACTTGGAGTGTTTGATTGCTATTTTTTTCCATAAAAAATATTTTCCAACTTTTGAAAATATGCCTAATTTTCCTTGTTTTTAAGGAAAATATTTTCCTTGGGTAGAGGTGGTTTTTATTTTTCACAAAAGATGGAAAATATTTTCTTTTCTAGACAATATTTTTCATGTCAATCAAACACACTCTAAGTTTTTTTAAATATGATGAAAATATTTTTAATTATAGTTTTAAACCTTTTCTAGAAGGTCAAGAAAAAAGTTAAGAGAGAGTTAAAAAAAATTGAAGAAATTAATTTACTTAACGGTAAAGTACTATAAGGCCATTACAAACATATTGATCTTTAGTTATAATATTTTATACTATTAGATAATTATATATCATTTACTTTGATTTGTTGTTCAGTAGAAAACTTTAAAGAATTTATTGATATTTGTTTAGAAAATTGAAAAATTGGTAGAATAATTGTTATAGAAAATCACATATTATCTGCACTAGATAGAAATAGAGGTAACTATTCTTTACAGATCAAGAAGCAAATTATTGAGCTTTCCATCTCTCAGTATCGAAGTTTCTTGATAAAAGATTTTGAAAATTGTAAGAAAAGGTAAAAAGACATAAAAATTATAAAATAAAATAAAGATAAAAATAGTAAGATTCTCTTTCTAAGAGAAAAAAATTTTCTTTTAAGATTTTTTTATCTTAGCATTTGTTATTATTATTATTTTTTTTGGAACTGCTTTCTATTTTGACCACGTAATTTGAAGACTTTGTAATTGGTAAAAGAGACTTGTTATTTTCTCTTAATTAGTAGACAAACTTTTTCGAATCACTTAAAGATGTTTCTTACTTATCATTTTCTTAATACAAAATTTTCTCAACCTATTTGGTATCTATGTAGAGAATTTTTCAAGAGACTTTTTCTTACTACAAAGATTTTTTTATTACAAATTTTCTGTTAAAACCTGCCACTCGAATTGGACTTGGGGTGTTATGGCATCCCTTCACTTCCTTGATAAACATATAAATTTGACCCGCAGTCCCCATAGCTCTCTACTAATGAGTCCACAATTTCAATTCTGGAAGCTCCACTCCTAATCATTCTGAGAATCAAAGCCTGAGCATCGGAAGTTCTTTTACTCATAACTAATACATGTACCGTGGCTAAATTTAACGCAATAAAATCAATAACCTCTGACCCATTTGCAAATTATTCCGACATTTAAGTAGAACTTCCATAAAAATTGAAGTGTTTAGCTGATATAATATGGGTGTTAATAGACTGACCTTCCTTTAGAGCCCACTAAATCTATTCATTCAAGTAAAAAAGAATCTGAATCTTGTTTTTGCATGTGAATGGAATTGGTGTGTGTTGCTCTGGGGACTTTCTTGGAATGTAGAAGCATGGCCGTCCTGTACTTGACGGGGCCCGAGGCGAAATTCAAAAATTAGGCCTCCAAAATTAACATAAATGCAAAATTCAATCGTGTGTTATGCAACATATTGCTAACTTAAAACTCAACATTAAAACAAAAAATAAATATCTCAATTATCTCACAATTAATGAAAAACTATTTTCCTTTTCCTTCTTTTAATGGTTAAAAAAAAAAAAAAAAACTTTGGGCCAAAATAGGCCCCCAATGGATTTTGGGCCTGAGGCACATGCCTCATTTGCCTGTGCCCAGAACCGGCCTTGTGTAGAAGTCGCAATTTTTGCTCGACATTGCTAAGGTCGTCGTTGGAGATTGCTGCATCTATGCAAAGATGAAGCCTTCTCAATTTTTTAAAATTTTTATTTATTGATTTATTAATGTTTTTATTTTATTTGAAAGGTAAAAATGCCTTTTAGTCATGAATAAAGATACTTGTATACAATTTTTAATACATAAAGGTATTCACCCTCTCACATGGGTGGGGCCTGCTCGAATATGAGATGGTGGACACCCCTACGTACCAAAAATTATGTACACTTAGCATTTCTCATAATGTAATTTTCCAAAAAATCTAGTAGCTATTGTGAGGTTTCGTCATTCATTTGGTCTTGAACCAATATTTCTGCAACGGTGCGAGTTCAATATATATGAATGTTATTTCATGAAATAACTAGAAATGAACCTATTGATCTGCCTCAAAATTGACCGACATCTAATTTATGAAACATTGAAAATAAGAATATCAAAAAATTAAAGTTAAAGACAGAAGTACAAAAAGAAAAAAAGAAAAAAAAGAGACCAACTGCAATTTAATTTTTACTATAAAATAAAACGTTAGTCATTTATGCATTTATTAAAATAAATAACTTGGTTGTTTTTAATTTTAATTAGTAAAAAAATTAATTACTGAAAGACAGCTCGTAAATCTTAAATTCCAAACAGTATAATATCAATATTCACGAAATGTTTTGCTAAGCTTGAATTTCATTTTAATTTTAATTTTAATTTTAATGTATATTTTCTTTTTTTTTTAATTATACATTTTTCAATAAAATAATATTTACACATAAACCTAAAACTTTTTTATTTTTTCAAATCTTATATTCTTTACAAAAATCACTGTTTCAATATACCTTTTTTCGAAGAGTTCAATATTTGTTGGAATTGATATTTTAGATGCAGATAAATTGTATCTCATAAATTATTTCTCTTTTGTCAATCGACATTTTTTTATCATTTCTTTTGTATTCCTTAATAACCAAAAATTGACTTTGGTTATAATGATAATCGAAAAAGATGCGTACGAACAAGATATCAGCATTAAGAACTTCACTAAAAAAGGAGCCCAAGCAAGATTTTATTAAAATGCTAAACTTGAATTAGTAGAAATTTTAATTTTAATTATTTTATGGAAGATATTTTTCTTCAATCTGACATGTCACGTTCTTATTGGTTTAGTTGACCACCCGGGACGTGTCTCTCCACCTTAGCAATACTGAAAATCACCTGCAGTTATTACAATTGCTGAAGTCAGAACTCTTCTTCACACGACTCATACCGTGATAAAGACAAAAGCGTTACTTCGTTCATGGGTATAACTGTATAAAAAAGGCAAATGAGAAATGAAAACAAGTAAACGCGTTACTCATCGATCCCGTCCCGCTCTCAACTCTGGTATGTGTGAAATTTACGCACGCTGAAGGAGTCTCCGATCTGCGTGTATTAACTGAAAATCAGTTCTGGGAGAGAGAAGGATAAACCCATCATTTTCAAGGTTTCTCATCCTTCACATGTTATTACGTGCAAAATCATTATTTTTGTTTGGATTTTGTGGGAAGAATCAAGGTCTTTGATTATGTTAATTAAAGATTTCAGTTATATGGGTTTTTGATAATCAGTGAATTCAGAGAAATGGGTTCTAGTGTACGAGTCTTTGATTTTGTTATTTGATCCCGACTTGTTCATTTAGGAAATCTGGAAAAATTGACTTCTTGCTTCTTTACAGATAAAGATTGAATTTTCCTCTGACTCACAAGAATTATGCTGTTGCAAATTTTAATTGATTATATGAGAATCTGGAAAAAGTTTGATCACATATTTTTTCCTTTTTCTTTGGTTGAAAGATTTTGATTAGATTGCGGGTTTACATGCTTTGCCTTGTAATTGGTTATTATATTTTTCCTTTGGAATGTGTCACAGAGTTTCTTTGGAGTGGACCGGAGGGAAACATTTGATAGTTCTTTACAATGAAGAATCATGAGCGTCTGGCTAACCTTGCCTTAGCAGGTATTACATGACACACACAAGCGCGGTATTTATAATGTTGGTCTTTCAATTTGATTTAACGACTAGAATCTTTTTGTTTTTTGGTTTGATTTTTCTCTTTCTGCATATTAAGGCTATGAGTATTCGCCTGTTAAATAACTTCAATTTACAGTTTCTCCCACCAAGTGCATTTCACCATGATTTTGTTTTATCTTTTTATTTGGAGCTTTTTTAGTTTGCTTGACATACTTCTCTTATTGCTACTTCTGAATTGTGCATGAATGCTATGCATGTATATTTGTATGCGTGTGTGCATTCATTCTCAATTTGAAGTTTAAATACTCGCGTTCAACTGGATAAGTGTAAAATACCATTGATGTGGCATATTAGTTATATTTTCTTTATGGTCTAATCTTAGTTATGTGTTGTTTATCATGATTGCAGGTTTGACTTTAACTCCATTGATTGTGAAGGTAGACCCGAACTTGAATGTTATTTTGACAGCATGCCTAGCAGTATATGTAGGTTGCTACCGTTCTGTCAAGCCAACTCCACCCACCGTAAGTGGAACAGCCCAATGTCTTTCCAGCAGATTCATTATTATTTATGAATTTTTGTTGACCTTTACTTACATTGCACAATGGAATCTTTCAGGAGACCATGTCCAATGAGCATGCCATGCGGTTCCCCTTGGTTGGGAGTGCAGTACTGCTGTCATTGTTCTTGCTCTTTAAATTTCTGTCAAAAGACTTGGTTAATGCAGTATTAACTTGCTACTTTTTCGTACTTGGGATTGTCGCTCTTTCGTAAGTACTTCCAAGTCGGCTATTCTATTATGACAAGTTTACTTTGAATAACTTTTCATTAGACTATTGAAGAATTAAAATACTTATGAATCCATCTTACTCCTCTATTTACTTTTTGTAGGGCAACATTGTTACCCGCAATTAAACGTTTTTTACCAAAACGTTGGAATGATGATGTCATAACCTGGAAGTTTCCATATTTTCGATGTACGAACTCATTAATTCTACGTATCTGATTCTTTTTAGTTCAAGGATTGCGATCGCATATTGCTCTTTAATGTATGCATTTATTTATTTGTCTTACCATCAAACACTCAATGAATAAGATGAGGAAAAACTGGGGCTCATTCTCTTCATGATGAAATACTAGTAACATATTTTCTTTGCAGGATTGAAAGAACAATGATTCTCTTCTTTGATAATTACTGTTTTCCATGCCTTTACTAGAAATTGTATTGGGCTTATTTGTAATGCTTGCATTACCAAAGGATGACATATAATTTTGTCAAGAAAGGCAATTGTTACATGGAAGCTTCATTATAGTTTATATCTTTAGCTGCTATGAATTTTAATGTGCGAGATACAATGAGTTCTTCTGCTAGTCACAGGTTTTTAACCCTCTGGCGTTCATACTTCTGTATTTGGATTCTTTTGCTATGTTCTGACATTACAGAGAAAATATGCTGTATGAAGGTTGAAACTTGGATTTTGGTCAAAATGAATGCTGATTAGTTGGTCAACTGGGTTTGTAATTGTTGATTAAATAATAATGAAAGCTGCAGTTTGATTTATAAATGCTGCTTGATGATGTCTGTGTTTATTCTATGCATAATTTATATATACTTGTTCAGATGATATTATACGAATTTAAGTAAATTTATGGTGGAGTATCTCTCAGATTATGCACTTTTGAAAGTAAACATGTCATGATGGCTTTGCCAATTGCTAATCTCTGAGTTAAAACTACTAACTTTTTGTAAATATAAGTGTGATTTGCTCACTGTAGATAATATCAGTCAGATAGAAGACTAGATTAGCTTACGGTTTGATAATTTTAACACATATTGCTTGCAATATGCAGAATGATATTTTTTTACACGTTTGTTGCACAGCTTTGGAGGTTGAGTTTACGAGATCACAGATTGTTGCAGCGATTCCTGGAACTTTCTTTTGTGCATGGTATGCTTCACAGAAGCATTGGTTGGCTAACAATATTTTGGGCCTCGCTTTCTGCATTCAGGTTTGATGTTCTGGCATTTTTGTCATACAAATACACAAAAGTTTCACCATGTAATGTTCTCAAGGTGTAAATGCTACTTACAGCTGTATGTACTGTCTTTAAATCTTAATGTGTACTTGTTAAATGTCAAAATGCCTGCCTAAAATATGTTAATGAATTTCATATTCAATACAATAAATTTTGGTATTTGCGTATAGAACTTAGGGTAGGTTTGGCATTGCTATACTTTTTTGTTTTAGCTGGTCAATCAAACTTTTTATCCAGACATTTAATAGGATATGTAACTTACTAAGCACTTACTATCTATTCATTCTACAAGATGCACAAGCATATAAGCATGTAAAGTGCATGCATATTAAGTTAAATTTTTATTTTATTTTAATTTCTATGGTTTGGGACGAAGTACTCATTGAATGCTTTTAATGAGATGATTTTTTTTAATTTTTTTTTTAATTTTTATTTTTTTTTAAATTGCAGGGGATAGAAATGCTTTCACTTGGTTCATTTAAGACTGGAGCCATCCTCTTGGTAAGAAAGGAATTTTGAGCTAGACACTCACTTAATAGCACATAGCTCCCAATCTTTGGCCTTTTGTTTTTTCCCTGTATATTTCTTCTTATTATTGTTCTTTTATTTCTATTTTACTCGGATAAAAATGTTCTTGGCTGGTTTCTTTTGAGGGTGTGCGTGTTGGTTGGGGGAAAGGTGAAAGTGAATACATAAATAGCTTAGCCCCTATTTGGTTTTGATTATAATCAGATTTTTAGTAGGTTTTGATAAATGTTGATGAAATGTGTGGTCGAAAAGTTGATAAAAGTTGTGGATTCTATGAAATGTGTGGTTAAAAATGTGTTTGGGGATCAAACAAGGGCTTAAAGTTGTTTTGTTGAGAGGAGGAAAGAATAAGCCAATGGCCCTTTTCATACAGTAGGCATAAATGGGTCAGTGTGAACCTGTGGATTTATAAGATATGTACCCTTTTACTTTTGTGTTTTGTGTTTCGTGCTAGTTCAAGCAACATCTGGTTGTCCTTTATTAAATGCATAGCTTTACAAATTGCAGGCTGGGCTTTTTGTATATGACATATTCTGGGTCTTTTTCACTCCAGTAATGGTTAGCGTGGCTAAATCTTTTGATGCTCCGATAAAGGTTAGTGCTTCTTGTTGATCAGTATGTCTACATAGCATAGTGTAGATTGAATATATCTTGCTTGATGTATCTAACACCCTTCTATAATCATGTTTCACTTTTTGCAGCTTTTGTTTCCTACATCAGATTCTGCTCGTCCATTTTCAATGCTTGGTCTGGGAGATATAGTGATTCCTGGTACGCACTTAACTAAAATTGTGAATCTTTGGTTTAGTCAAAATTCTATTTTCCACTTGCTGTGGATACATGCCATATGTATGTGTGGACAATGTGAATTTGGGTTGAGATCGTTTTTCATCCTCCTTTTAAATGGTTAAATACACAGGTGGTCACTAAACCTATAGGAAATTCCATGTCGGTCAAATTGGTAACTTAGTTCAGTCATTTGTCAACTAGGACGCCATGTTTGCTTTTAAGTTCATCAAACAGACAGACGTGGAATGTTTCAAATTGTAATAAATGTTTAAGGCCTCGTTTGATTCTCATTTTTATCAAAATGCATTTTTCTCTCTTCTTTTTAACCACACACTCTTCATTAAAATAATATTACACGTAAATCAATTTTTATTTATTTATTTATTTATTTTTTAATTTTTCATCCACACATTCTTCATCAATCTACTATTCTAAAATTCATTTTTCCATAAAAATGGGTGTCAAACATCCTCTTAAATTTGGTGAGTCAACTTAATGAAGTTTAAGTCTAGTGACCAACTTGGAAAAAAATGAAGTTTAGTAACCAACTTGGAATTTCTCTAAAGTTTAATGACCAGTAATGTCTTTAGTCCTTTTAGCATGCAATATGTATTTTGTCTATCTCTATTTTATACTCATTGGATATGGTGTGCATGAATTTTCTTTCCTTCCATGTTAGGTTTTCACAATAGATGCACAATCCTTAATTCCTTATATATGGTCATGTTTGAATAAAATTTCGAGGTTTACCTGGACTTTTCAGGCATCTTTGTGGCACTGGCACTACGATTTGATGTTTCCAGAGGGAAAGAAAGCCAATACTTCAAGAGTGCTTTTCTAGGATACACATTTGGTTTGGTGCTCACAATTGTTGTCATGAACTGGTTTCAAGCTGCACAGGTGAGTATCTAGAATGTGTTCTTTCAGTTTTATTTAATTTTCATGAAAGATTAAATTGAATGAATTATCTCCACAAGTTATCTTTATATCTCCAATATTTTAATTTTACTTCATAACATATGCTCTGTCTTTTTTCCAGCCTGCACTATTGTATATTGTACCAGCTGTTATTGGATTTTTGGCTGTGCATTGCATATGTAACGGTGAAATTAAACCTGTAAGTCTTTCTTCGTTCTTGTTATTTTTATTATGATGTGTAATATTGATATATTTGAATTGCAAGCATATTAATTTTCAGTTTAACTAATTTTCTTATTTGTTATCTTCAAAAGTTCATTATGAAATACTTCTATTTATTTTTTAACAAGTGAGAAAATCATGGCAAAATGGAAACTACTCCTTACTAGCATAATAATCAAATGCAGCCGGTTGTCTGGCTGTCACATAACTGTTGAAATATCATTTGCGCGGTTCTAAATTCCCATTCCAGTATTTGAAAATGACCCTAAGCTGGAATATACGTTACAAGCCGTATATATCTCCAGTCATAATAATCCGTATATATCTCCAGTCATAATAATCCTGTACGTACTCCACCTATTAGCTCTATACTTAAACATGCAATATTCCTTTACTTCAGATAAAAACCTATCATCTGCCAATTCCTTGCCCTGGTGCCCTGGCCTGCCAACCAATTTGTACTGAATAACATTCTCTCTTTAAGGCCATATCCCACCACAGTCATTGTATGACTTCTATTTTAAACTTGCTATGGTGAAATTGTTGGCTGGAGCTTCTTTTCAACTGAATAATATAATTCTTCCCCATAAAAGTGAAACACAAGGATCTTGTGTATTTGTTATGTATATTGGTTCATTTCTTTAATCTTTGAAATGACTGTGTATGTAATAATCTAGAAACAGTTTGGAATTTGATGCATATAAATTTTTTAGTGAATGGTTGGTACTTGAGACATTGCCTATGGCTCCCTTCTCCCCACTTATAGTTTTGCCATACCAATTCCATTATTACAACCGTTTAAATTTTTCATATACAATTTGAGCTTACAAAAAGCTGATCATTTATGGGTAGCTTTGCGGATGTATAATCTGTTGGTTGATTTGTTACTGAACAATTTATTGTTCTGTGCAGTTGTTGGAGTTTGATGAGTCTAAAACTCCCAGCTCCAAAGAAGCTGATGATTTAAAATCGAGCAAAAAAGAAGAGTGAAATGGACACCTTGGACAAGAACACCAAGGATTCATGAACACCAGTACCATCTTATGCAAAAGCAGATTGTTGTACTACATTTTTTGACTTTATCATTAATATCAGTAGCCCCTTAACAGTCAATCTTAAGATTTTGTAATAATGCTCAACCATTCAGATATATGCTTCAATTTTGCTTGCTTTGCCTGGGGGTATTCATTAGGCTTGATCACAAACTAGCTTAATGTTGCATCCTTTTTTATTATTTTCTATTTTATTTTATTTTATTTTTTTTATTTATGGGCACGTCGATTATTCTGTCTAGGATAAATATGATGAGCTGAATTGAAATGCATGTTTGAATTTATATATTCTAATGAATGAAGCAAGAGGCATTTTGTAGAATAGTTTGGCTTCGTTTGGTTGGGCTTTCGAAAAGTCAAATGTATGCTTATGAGACAGACTACTTGTGAACATGTTTGGATACATTTTTGAAAGCATTTAATTAAATTAGAAGAATTATTAGAAAAAATCGATCTAAGATAGCTTTTTCAAGAAAGTTTTCTATAAGAAGCAAAAACAAAAAATCTCTGCAAAATGTGCAATTTGTGTGGTAAAGAAGTTGGCTTTGAGGAGGTAGAGCTTGAGCTTGTTTTTCGGATAAGGTAATTAACAAAATTTTAGGTTTTCTTTACGTGGTGCACTACTATTCTATTCTAACTCAAGATAAGTGCATCTTTCCCAATAGACAGTAACAGGATGTAACATTTTCCCATACAAGCATTTCATACAAAACCAACTTTTTCTTACCTCAGTGAAATCCTGAAAAAATTCTTAACATCAAATATAAATAACTTCGTATGGACAAGAACATAACCAAATGGATTTTCTTGTTAAATACAGTGTTCGTACAAGAACTTGATAATCTTACAACGTGATAAAATGTCAAACTCTACAAACTAGCTGCACGACGTTTAAATACTAAACTGCAGGGATTTCTCCTACCGACTACAATTAGAACTCGTTTCTGCACTTCTAAAATCTTCGCTAACACTAGATGGCTTCTTCACAGCAGACCTAAAACAGAGTTGTATTCAGTGAGCAAAAAATATTGCAATAGTAGCTATTGGTGCACGTTAGCTCACATCCAAAAATGGTCATTTATCAGTACAGCAGACCTAAAACAGAGTTGTATTCAGTGAGCAAAAAATATTGCAATAGTAGCTATTGGTGCACGTTAGCTCACATCCAAAAATGGTTATTTATCAGTCTAGAATACAAATGGTAAATCTGAGAACCACGAATAATCACTGTTGTAAATGGTATTCTCTTTCTCAAACTATGTGCACGTCCGACGATGTGCAATGGAGAGGATTATTAGAGGAGAGCCAAATCGGAACGTGATTAAAGTTCATGATCACCATATAATGCAATAATATTTCACATGAATCCTCACAAAAACATATACAGGCAGCAGCTAGATTTAGGATAATGTATCAGTTCAACCTCTTAACATGATGTGCCCATGGTTGGTTATCTAGAACTGAGGATCCCTTCACATGCTGCTGAAGAAATTCACCCTTTACTCTTTTTGCAGCCTAATTGTAAAGAAAAATATAGAGAATAATAAAAATGATATATATAGTATTTAGCAAAATGTAAAGAAAAAAGTATTGGTGTGAGCACAAACTCACTCTTATTTCATTCTTCAGGGACATCTTTACACGAACTGGCTCACAATTGTCATTCACTGCCCTTGTTTCTCCAAAATCCATGCCACTCTACACATCGTTGTCAAGCACAAAAAATATCAGAACCTGAGTAAAAACTCGCAACTGATTACAAAAATATGCAATTGGAAAGTAGACCTTAATAATTCCCCGAGAAAGCCCTTTCTCTCTGTTATAGTGATATTCTTTGCCTTTTATGGTCAAATTTGAAGACTCGTGCTCAATGTAATCATGTTGGCTAGATACAGAATCCTCATGTGGCTTCATTTGGCGGTCGTCCCTGCTCTTGAAACCTGGTCTATCTCTTGCAAAACCCTCAGAAAAGTCCTCGGAACAATAATCACTGTGATTGGACAAATTTGGCTTCTGCCCAAATTTTTGCTGTAAGTTATTTCCGGGAATATCAGACCAATGGCGCATTTTGAAACTGGTTCTATCCATGTCAGAGTAACGAGAGACTCTGTTGGAATTGTATTCATATCCCTGTTAGGACATTAGAATAAAATGAGATACAATTAACTATTAAGTGAAAATGAAATATAATATCCATGTTTATGCGCTATAAGACAAAGGGAGACTTGGTAGCTATTGCACAAGCCATGCTATAGCTCGTCAGTTGAAATATTAGATTGATGGCTACCCCAAGAACTTCCAGAAAGAAACAAATGTTCATCTCTCTCTAATGGCATGTTTGGTAAGGAGAATTAGACACTATTGGACAATTTTAAAAAAGAAAAAGAAAATAAAACCTTGTTTACTCTTATTGGGTACCACGATCTGATATTTAGTACCAAACATGCGCTTAGTGCACTCAGGTAAATGAACGCAAATTTGGAAGTCTTGTTAAGATGTTTGGAACTTCAAAACCATTAATCTGAAATGAACAAGATTGACCTCTATCATCAGCAAAGGTATGGTCAGAATTTGCAGGGTCATACAACCACAGAGAAGGGGAAAATATACGATGAGCTCGGAAAAGAAAAGAAAAAAAAAAAAGTCAAAGTTGAGCAAATTGCGGCTGCGATAGTATCAAGAGGCTAAATAAAGCCGCGGTCCTTAACACTTGGGCTTTCACTAAGGTGCCCTTGATTTGAATTTTTGAAATTCAAACTAAGGGCTGAGGTGCAAAAATTCAAACCAATGACTGAGATGCACCTACCTTAGCTCCTTTTTTTATCCTTGCCTACCGATAGCATAAATCTAAAATTTTTGAAATAGTCTTCACCAACAAAAAAAAAGAGAAAAAAAAAAAAAAAAAAAAAAAAAAAAAAAAAAAAAAGGGAGCCAATCAGATGTTCGCCATAGCATGTTGAGAAAGAAATAGTATCATGTTGTCCATAATAATCAGATCAAAAGTCCCATAAGGAAAAAAAAAATCATATTAGTCCCCTGACATTGTTATCTCAACTGTAATTGCACTGCCACTGTTGCCTCACAATGTAACCAATTCATCCAGGCAGAAAGATGGAAGCCTAGAAATTTCTAGTTTGAAATTCCAAATCAAAGACACACTAGTAAACATTCCGAAACAAAAATACAGTATCAGACATTTCAACAGTTGAGATGATAAAATAAGTAACATTTTCCAAATGAGCAAAAGAAAAAGAAAAGGTCCATGAAATCCATTCACCTTGCCAAAATTAGGATGCCTCTGGATTTTTGAATCATCAGGCGAGGCTAGTAGAAAAGGTTCTCCATCATAGTAAGGCTCTGAAAAGAATTTCACATTAAAAATGGAGAGACAGAAAAACGCGATGAATGACATCAAAGTAGATCGGATTCGCATTTGGACCTCACAGATGTAGAGGTAAAAAAGAAAATCCCAGGCCAGTAATATACTGGCATGGACAAGATTTGTATATCTGACCAAAAGGTAAATATGAAACAGTTAGTTCACTATATACAGACATGGTGTGCTCAGACTGTTTTAAGGATCAATACTGTAATCTATTTGGGGATTTAGCGAACAACTACTGCACTTATGACTTAATCAATGAGGGAATAATGGTGTTACACCACAGCCAACATGGCCATCGAACATGGAAGAACTGCACCCACTGACCTGCCTTGCCAAGACAAGACCTCAAAAATTTTAGAAAAAGACCAAGCGAAGTTCAATCTCAATTTTCAATGTATAAAATAAGGAATATAAGGTAGCCAGAAAGTTCATATCCCCCCGAGATTAGCAATAAGGTGTTTTAGTACTAGAATGCCCTAACTCAGGCTATGCAAAAACACTCTGCTTTACACTCCAAAAGGATATGATCTAATCTAAAGTCCAAGAACATGACTGAAGCGTCGAGTTCAAGCCATTGCATGGTTCGTCAGCAAATTCAGGAGATATGAGAACCTACCCTCAGAGGGTCTAACTCATTCCCATCTATAAAATCTCCTAATCAATCACTTGAACTAGTTCCACGGGAAATTTTTATCAGTTGAAGAAACTCTATGTGCAGCTCCACTTCAAAAACTCCCCCTTCAACCCCTCATTCATTGCAATGAACTTGTTGGCACATATACATATCATCAGTTATCTGATTTTATTAGAAAACTAATAGCAATTTCAACAGTCAATACAAATTTTTGACAAACTTCACAGCAAATTCCATTTCTTCTACAATAGAGAGAGAATAATATAAGTTTCATTTTCTGAAAAACAAATTCACTTTCTGCAGTACACATTCAACTCTTGCTGAAATAGAAAATTAAAATAGAAATAGTACCCACATGAGGGAAAGGGGATTATTTATTTCTTATTTTTCACAAAGAAAACTTTAATGTGAATTGTAGTGGTATAGAATAAACTGAAGGGTGAAGAAATAGATGAATCCAACTATTCTAACTCACCATTATCAGGATCCTGCATTGAGGACTCAAATGCACCAAATGGAAGTGGGTCAAATTCAATACCAAGTGGCGGACCATCCTCTCTATAATGTGTCCCTAGCTGCCTCTTAACAGCAGTTATAGCGGGGTTCTCAACCTGATCCTTCACTTTCAAGTAACCAGATGGGCCAGGCCTAGATTTTACATGCTTGGCATCCACAGGAATCTTTGGTGTTAGGTACCTTGAGGTTGCCATATCAGAAGGATCCCTGTTAGGATGGGAAGAAATGTTCCTTATCAAAGAACTACTTCCTGATGATGCATCATCTGTAGGATCATAGTTTCCAGTATAGTGACTGCCATGCTCATAAGTAAGCTCTGCAGCAGAAAATTCTTGGACAGTTAACCTCCCACTTTCAACTTCCCTGGTATCAGAATTCCTATCATCTCCCTGCTTTGTGCTACCACAGGAATCTTGCCTATGTCCACTGCCCCGATCCTGTATACCTCTGCTTGAACGATCCTGCCTTCCAAATTCATAGGTTTTTTCATTTGACAACCTCTTGTCTTTCAACCTTCTATGACAAAACCACCCAGAAATTTGCTTTTCTGTCAATCCTGTTGACTCGGCAATCTGTAATTTTAACGATTCTGTAGGATATTTGTGTTCTGGGAAAAATGTAACAAGTTCTTCTTAGAAACCATGTCTGAGGATGATATATAATAGGAAGGCCGGAGATAACAAGAAGAGTAAGTTTACCATTATAAAGTTTCTCCAACGCTTCAACCTGAGCACGCGTCTTGACTTTCCTTTTCTTATTATTCTCAGGAAGAGCTTTATCATCCTCCGAATGCATGTCGTATAATTCTAGACAATTAACAATGGAGAAGAATGGAAGTAAGTCCCAAAATTACCTGCTACAGGGGAAATAAAAATAGATGTGCAAAATGGTGGTCAACAGTTTGCTTGGAGTCATAGACCTACCGTATAAAAATGGTGCAAGCTGCAAAGATTGAATGATTTGAAGGTTAAGCTTAGGACTATACCCAACACCCATCGAGACTTCCGGACGCACATACTCAAATCAACAAATTAAAAACCAACTTTCATAAAGTTGTCTCACATTTTTTTTTGACTAGAAGCAAAGATAACAAATGATGTTCTCTGAACGTGAAGGAAAGTAATGTGTTGCTATGTAATTCACGTGTTTTCTTTGCTCACTCACACATCATATTATAACAACGTTTTTGCCAAAAAGTAACTAATCAAATAAATTCTGGAATCCCGTGCACCATTTTTACCTTATGCCCACAAGCTCAAAGTATTATCAAGAAGTAACTTTTCTTATTGCAGTACCAACTAGAAGGCCAAAAGGGCTGACTAAATACTAACAAGTCTATCGACAATCCAAAGAATTTTCTACCATAAAAGCATATCCTAACAGACATAACCTTGACATTGAATTCAAAAATAAAAATGATAGGCGTACATGAGAAAGAAACCCAAAACCACTAGATGTTAAATCCCTAATCGAATCAATAAAATGAAAAATGGTTAAACCACTGCAAGTGCAAGCTCTGCTACTTCAGTGACTAAAAGTACCTACATTTTATCTAGTAGCTTAGCTTGAGCTCTATTGTCATATAAAGACAATGACCAGCAATTAATATTCACATGATGATCAAGAATCCTCCATTGACTTGTTTTCATGATAAATAATTGTGGCAGATTTAGCTTTCATAACTATACACATTCAGATAATTATATCAATTTCCCAATTGGTTCATTGTATTCCATGCCATTTCCAAATACGTAATTCATTCTTCTTGCAAAACAATACAGACAAATCCTCCACATATATTAAACTACTTCAACGATAAAACCTGAATATCTTGCCATTTCCAAATACATCATTGTTAATTCATTCTTCTTGCAAAACAATACAGACTAATACTCCCCATATATTCAACTACTTCAGCGATAAAACCTGAATATCTTGCATGTTCCAAAAAATCGCACAGGTACAATCATAAAACACATAATGGTACCTTGTGCCTCAAAGATTATACCTAGCTCTCATCTACCTTCTATGGCACCATCAATTCCCATATCCAGAAAATGATATACACGCATCTGTGTGTGTTTCATACAATCAAATTTCTAAAATTGTTATAAAATCCAATTTAAGACAAATACCAACGAAATCCCATACATAAAAATCAAAGCCTGGACCTGATTAGCACAGAATGCCCACAAATATATTATCAAAAACAAATTAAATAAACAGATAACCCCTAATCCAGAATTCCAATAGTATCAAGTCCTGAAAATGAAGACATCATAACAAGTCAACCATGATCGGAAACGAAAAGATGGGATTACAAATCCGTACCTTCTTCCATGATGCTTCTGCGTAATTTTTCCTGGGTTTTTTACTTTTCAATTATTCCTTCAACATTTTATTTCAACCCACAATTGGCGGAGAATTCGAGAAATCCTAGATCAAGAAAGAATCTTTGTGGGTTGCATCAGATCTTAAATTGATAAGCATCTAAATGGAAGACCCCATATGAGAGAGAGGAGACCAAAGAGAGATTTATTGTTTCTTGGTCAAGAGAGAATTAAATTCTGTCCTGTGTATAATTATTCTTGATGTCGATTTGCAGTTTTTTGCTTGGAATTTCATTCTTCTCTATTTCGTTTTGTTTTAATTTCTAATTCATCTATTTTGTTTGCTTGTCAATCAATTTGATATCAACCCGATCAATACTATAATTGTATTGATATCCTACAGAAAATAGGAACCTGCTGTTCTTCAGCCTTCTTTAATAACCAATTTATTTTATTAATTACTTTTAAAGATTTTAAGTATGCGTCAATTAAAAAATTCTCATTCCTTATTTTTCAAGAATTTTCATTTTGTATAATTTAAACTATTTTATATGTACAGTTAATATGGCAATATAGATGGGAGTAACAAGAGACTGACTTGTGGAGTTTCATGTGTGTTTTTATATATAAATTGAAATATCCATATGTTGGTTGACTCCAAAATTTTACTAAATATATGCAATTTGATGCTCAATTCAATTTCATGGTTAAGTATGGAAAGAGAAATGGATATAATTATTTGCACAAGTTATCACTTTCATTTCATTCCTTTCATTTGCTCTGTCAAATGGTCGCGTACAATCTACTCGTGTAATTTGCCTAGTGTTATTTCAGTCAAGACACTAACTTGCTATCTTTTTTCGTCTTTGCTCTGTCAAATGGTCGCGTACAATCTACTCGTGTAATTTGTCCAGTGTTATTTCAGTCAAGACACTAACTTGCCATCTTTTTTTGTTTAATCCTAGTCATTCTGAAAGTATAATGTTATAACCATGTATTTATGTATGTACGTATGCATATATATTTCTGAAACGTTTGAGTTCGTATTTTAAAAAAGTTAATTAGTTCTTAGCAATACCGCCCAAAAATATTATTTATTTCGTACGCATAATTAACCTAAGCACAAATATTGTTTATTTTATTCCGTAAAATTGAGATCTATCTTGAAAAACTTGAGCTCTGATAATGTTTATTTTGTTCTCTTTTTCTTGATTGCTATTCACCCTTCTATTAGAGTTTGGGGCTAATAGTTTTATATTTTTGAACATCTTTCGTGTTAAATTACTGTTTTTTATTTAATAACATATTTCACCTATTTATTTATTTTATTTTTAAATGGAAACTTAAATGTAGGATATCTTATTAGGTAGTTTCCTTCGTTCCTAAACAAAATTTTTAGGAGTTAGGAGTCACATATCATGCAAATTATACTTGTATATAATTCAATATATAAATTGGAGAGGGAAAAATTTTTAGGACCACAAATGGTGATGTGGTACAAAAGGGATTGGACTTCATGGCAAAATGGGATCGGCGTAAGAAAAAATAATTTAGAGGAAATTTGGAGTTGTCGATTTTTGACGAATTTGTAGTCTATTCGGTTGGAACGGCTGAAAAGTTGAACTCAAAGGCTTCGCGTTTGACGTAGGACCAATTTCAGGTAAATTCCTCCGTTTTGGCATTTTTTCCTTTTTTGGTAATTCTCATTTTGAGTATATCTCAATCAAATAAATTCGGATTTACATTCCGTTTGTTGGAAAGTAATCCAAAAGATTAGGACTATTAATTTCCTTCATTATCTTGATTTTTTCCATTTTTGGAAAAAAATCTTATTATTATTATTATTATTTAAGGGAAAATTTCATAACTAAGAAATTAATTAAGGCACATTTCAAAAACAAAAAAACAAGTTTCAAATTTCTAAAATCAGATTTTTATTAAAAATTATTTATAATTTAATCAGTTAATTAATTATTTTATTAATTAAATATATTTAAGTCACAAATCTATACAATTTGGTCACAAATTAACAATATAATTAGTTACTTATTATTTTTTGGTCACAAATCAAAAATTTTATGTCACAAATTTTTTTACATTCACAATTCAAAAATTTTGTAAGTTACAGTTTTTTCGTTGGTCACAAATTAGAAAATTAATTAGTCACGGATTAATTTTTAGTCATGACTTATCATATTATTGGTCACAACTTATTTTTGGGTCACAAATCAAAGAATTTATAGGTCACATAATATTTTTGGGTCACGAATCCAAAAATTTTATAGGTCACAGATTTGTTCGAGGTTACAAATCAAAATTTTGTAAGTTACAGATCATATCATTGATAACAAATTCAAAAAATTATAGGTCACATAATATTTTTGGGTCACAAATCTAAAAATTTTATAGGTCACAGATTTGTTCGAGGTCACAAATCAAAATTTTATAAGTCAGATCACATTATTGATCACAAATTCAAAAAATTATAGTTCGCAGAATATTTTTGGATCACGAATCCAAAAATTTTATAGGTCACGGATTTGTTCGAGGTCACATATCAAAGAATTTATAGGTCACAGAATATTTTTGGGTCACGAATCCAAAAATTTTATAGGTCACAGATTCGTTCGAGGTTACAGATCAAAATTTTGTAAGTTACAGATCATATCATTGATAACAAATTCAAAAAATTATAAGTCACATAATACTTTTGGGTCACGAATCTAAAAATTTTATAGGTCACAGATTTGTTCGAGGTCACAAATCAAAATTTTATAAGTCAGATCACATTATTGATCACAAATTCAAAAAATTATAGTTCGCAGAATATTTTTGGGTCACGAATCCAAAAATTTTATAGGTCACGGATTTGTTCGAGATCACAAATCAAAGAATTTATAGGTCACAGAATATTTTTGGGTCACGAATCCAAAAATTTTATAGATCACAGATTTGTTCGAGGTCACAAATCAAAATTTTGTAAGTCACAGATCATATCATTGATCACAAATTCAAAAAATTATAAGTCACAGAATATTTTTATAGGTCACAGAATATTTTTGGGTCAGGAATCCAAAAATTTTATAGATCACAGATTTGTTCGAGGTCACAAATCAAAATTTTGTAAGTCACAGATCATATCATTGATCACAAATTCAAAAAATTATAAGTCACAGAATATTTTTAGGTCACGAATCAAAATTATAGGTCACAGCACCGCATACACCACCACTCTACAGCCACCAACACTGCACCACCACCATCAACACTTATGACCACCATCTCACTGCTGCCTCCAGAACCACCACCACCGTCGTCATCAGAACCACCACCACTTCCCGATAGTTGGTCGTAAAACCCCCGAGGTCACAAACACTTTCATACCACACCGCCGCCACCACGCCACCGCTACCAAATGCTCAAACTATCATCAACCAAAAAATCCCCAATCTTAGTGTCATCGTCGCCGCCACACCACCACCACCACCACCACCAAAAAATCGTGGCTACAATGCGGGCGATAGGCGCACTACTGTCGCGGAGAGTCGACAGCACCAGGGGGATGACACCAACGGAGAAGTTGAATGAAAAGAGATAGACTCCGGTGGTTCTACACACGATCGTCGCTGTCAGCGATCGTGTACAGTGTTGCCGCTGCCGCTACATGGTGTCGTTTGGTTGGGTCCAGAGCCGTCGGAGAGAGAAGAGGGTGCGACGCCGGGTAGAGAGGCCGTGAAGAGAGGAGGAGAGGAGAAAGTCATTAGGGTTTTGAAATGAAATTTATATAATGAATGTTTAATATTTAAATATAAAATTGTCTGAAATAATTAATATAAATTTTTTTTCTGATTTTTGAAATATTAAAGTTCCAATCTGTTTTAGGAATGTTGATTACTTAAAGTATGAGATTGTGTAATTTCCACTAACTGTTATTCGTGAGTTTATTTGACGCTAAATAGTAAACATTAATTTTCAAATAGCAATTTCTTTTATTTTTGGGTTAAGGTATTTTATCTTGAAAGGTCAACATTATTAGGAGTAGTCAGTGGCGAATCCAGGACCAGAGTTCAGCTAGGGCGGATCATTGACCGTTGACCTTTTATACAACTAAAATTTTAGATTCAAATTGATTCTAATATTTGTCTTTTTATCTCTATCCCCTTCTTATTCAACGACATTCTCTCTGTCCCTTCTTAATTCTTATTCTTCTATTTTCTTCTTTCACAGACGAACCACAATCTACAGTATCACTTAGTTACTTAATACCTTTCTTCTAAGTTTTGTAGATTATTCTGCATTAATTCTTGTTTTACCATCGCTCAATCAAAATTGACAACTTGCATTTAATTCAAAAGTCAAAATAAATAAAAATATGCTCTAAAAATATAAATTGCTCAATCACAATTGATAGACTCAAATCCAGTTCTTTCCAAAATGGACCATTCCTTGAAATAGATAAATAACTTTTGAACTAGCACAAACACACCATACAAGTAACAAATAAAGTATGATTTTGCAAAATTTAGTTCCAAAAAAAGTGAAACAGAAATTATGTGATCCAGTAGCATTCTATGATCCAGTAGCAGAACCTCCTCCTCATCAAGCGAGGAGAAATCTAATGCACGCTGACCAGTTACTAGTTTTAGACTTCTAGCGGTAGCAGAGTAATACCATATCCAAACACGTCCGTCTTTTCAAAAGATTTTCCTGTAGACAAATAGTCGAGGCAATGTGTTCGGCAACGGTAATAGCATCAGTGTTCAGTTGTTTGTTGCTCGTTGGGTTCAAAAATCACAATCACAGCCTCGTAGAGTTGCAGGGAAGAACAAGGGTTTGCAAATTGCAAATGAAATCTGCCTTTTCAATTGGGATGTCGACTAATTGAGGGTTTATAATTGGGATTTGGGCCTCATTTTATTTAAAAAATAAGTGGCCCGAAAAGGCCCAAAACTTAAACAAAAAACCCTAAACCTTCAAAGCAGTTTTCCTTCCTCCTCCTACCTTTCCAGTTTCCATTGACTACCTCTGTAAATTCCACACTAGCGGACCGACGGCCACTGCAAACTCCGACAGATCCAACACGTGCGGCCGTGCCCCCTCGTCGGGTGCTGAATCCGCCACTGGGAGTAGTCCAAGTCCTTATAACTTGATATGTGAAATTTTATCCTTTGATATGTCCCCGCAAGATAGTGACCCGTTTGAGTAATCGGATTGAATTGTTCGTTGGAGTTTAATGGGCTCTAATATTATATTCCATTTTAAAATATCAACCTCATTAAGAAGAGTAGTTCAAACCCTGATAAGTTAGTCTATGTTTTCTTCTTTATTCGATATTGAATTTTATCCCTTAATAAAGTTCACTCCGGGTCACCAACTTTTGACGGAGGTGCATGATTGAATACATGCCTGGCCATAATTGTCGTTCTTCCTCTTCTTGCCTCATGGCTTCTTCATCAGTGAGTTGTAGTGAATCTTTCCTAAAGTTTGGCTTTGAGCCTTCCTTTAATGTGGCACGAGTAATTGCAATAATTTTGTTAACCGACGTGTTAATTGGTCGGAAGTAATGGGGATGAAAATGAGATGTCTAACTTCATGTATTCGGTTCCCTAAAGAATTTTTGGTGAGAGAACATAAAGAGATATATTTGTGAATATAAAATTAGAATTTGTATAGTTAGCTTTCGTTGATGAGACGCATTTGCAAATATGTAGGTGTACATATAAAAAATCGAAGTGCAAGTAATTATGGTGACGGTGAACACAGTTTCAGACTTTTAGTACCTATTGATTCTAGTTCAGTATCCACATTGAAGACCTCCAAGTAATGGCACAGGTATACCTGACCCAAACTCATCTATAATTCTCTAAAGTATATAGTGAATCGTCAAAAGGATACATTTGTACCTTACTACATTCGTCAAGTATACATGATACAATGTTGCATATTGAATGACAAGTGACCCTACTGTTAGTTTTCTCTTGGGTTCTTTGTGACACTAGTAAATATATATGACATTCCTCACAGAATTGACACTGCATTGTTCGGTCTCCCTGCTGAGAGGAAGGAATTAGAACTAACCCGTTGTCCTTCTTGTACAGGAAGATTATACAAAGCATACGAGGTAGCAAGGTAAATAGAAATTAGATTTCTCAGTATTCACCATCGTTATTTGGGCAGACATTGTAGCTCTTGCACATTTAAGTTTCTAATGTTTTCCCTTAGTATTTGTATTATTCTGATTTGATGATTGGGCAGTCGAAACTCCAGGATCTGATCGAACCAACCCCTCAGTTACAGCTGGATTGGAGCCACTCATTTAAGCTGCAGGAGGTTCTTTGAGATCGAGCAAAGGGCTAGTGAGAAGTGAGAATAATTTTCTTGTCACAATTAAATGGTGTGTTATGTCACCGATACTTAACACAAGTTAAGCATCAATACTTAGGAGATCATTTTCATATATATATATATATATATATCCTCGTGTAAAGTGCTAAATATTGCTCTCTACTGTGCAAGCCTTTCACAATGAAGTGGCACATATGAGAACGGAATATGATGTTTGTCCAGGTTCAAATATAGGGGAAAAAACCAAACTGACTTGATAGCAGATAATTGAATGTTTGTTGTTTTTATTTTTTCAAACAATCCAATCGTGTATTGACACGTGTACACACTATTTTTGAACCTACATTTTAGCCTATCTATGTAGCATAATTCTACGAGAACCCTATCATTACTTGAAATTTCTAGGGATGAAATGGTTATTTGTAAAGATACAAACAAATTGATGAAAGAAAGATTGAAAAATTTGTATGGCTTTGATTTGTATAGATGAGGGTGTGGTTGAAAAACCCTTTATCACTTTATCTTCTATAGGTTGGTTCTCAACCTCATGCTTCATTAAAACTATTTCTATGGTGAGTAATTAAGCATGAAATATTTTCACTAAAATTTCATGTACAAATCCTTTTATTTTCTTGTATGTTCAAACGTAATCTAATGTTTCCATGAATGCTATTACCTATGATAATTATTTTTCAATTGTGTCCTTGACTAGGAATTAGATTACCATCATTTTGAAATTCTTGGAAAATAATTCAATACTTTTATTTTCCAACCATTTGACGGATGCTAGAAATAAGTTCGACATATTAAGTTATATAAAATTGTATGTTTAAGTGGTTAATGTTTGGTACAATCATGTTGTACTAGTCGTATTAAGCAAGTAAAGATCATGGTCTAGAGGCCAAAAAAAGTGCAATGGTTATCGATTCTTAATCTTAAACAATCTAGGTCATGTTTAAGTAACAAATTAGATCAGCGTTGTTTTAGTCGTAGTCCATAAATGTTCCTTTTGATAAGATGTTTACGTGTGCACTCATGTAATTTATTTTGCATCTTAAAATAGCATCACATAGAACCAGCTAGAGATCACATACAAACTTAAAATAACATATATTAGAGTTGAAATTCTTCATGGGTACCTAATGGCATACTATAACAGAGTACGGGGGTCAAAAGAAATATGAATAAAATAAGTGGCACAAATGCAAGTTAAGATATTTTATTGCGATTTTTTTTTTATATACAATTTTTATTATGAGCCGCAGGATTGACATAGATGCGCTCTTATCTGCCACGTAAGAGATTGAGATGGGACCCACATTGAGCCTTGATTGGTCTCCCGCTCTCTTATAAAAAATTGTACATTTCCCTTTGGCCTTTTCATCTATTCCATTTTTCATTTCCTAAGGCGAAAAGCTTTGGGAAAGTCGCAGTTTCAATAAATTCCACAAAGGTAAAATTGCTCTTCTGAAACTATATTATTTTCTTGAAATTATGTTTGTTCTTTTAGTATTACATGCACCATACATGCATGTCGAGTCTCTTAAAGTCTTGAAAGTTGAAACCTCACAAGTATTAGCACAATTTTATGTTCTTTGGTTTCTACGGGTTAGGGTAGGGTAGGGTAGGGTGGGGGTGTGGCTGATTATTGATTTTTATGCATTTTCAGTTTATTTTTTCAGGGTTTTTGTGTTTGTAGGTGTATGTATATATGTTGTCTGATATATACGTCATGAATGTATAGAATTTTTAGTTTAGGCAGTAGGATTTGGCCAATTCAGTTTGCTTGAATGGCAGAACTCTTGGAGATGATGGTTTATTTAATGATTTTATAGTGTTTGGAGGAAGAATAATTGAAAATATAGTTTGTAAATTGAACAGATATACAATTCATAATTTCTTTTAATTTCTAGGGGTGAATGAACTAGCTGGTGGAAAGATAAATTGCCTAAGATAGTATTATGCTTTTGTAAATGCGAACCGTTTAAGCAATTCGTCCAATTATTGTAGAAGGACAAACTTATTTATTCAAATTTGACTTGATTGATATCTGAACAATTTTCATAGGTGAGCAGTGGCGAACGACTACCTTTGTCTCCTCGGATACTATGTTGAACTGCCTTATCATCTCTAGTGAGGGCGTGTTTGAAACTAAATATAGAAAAACGTGTCCTTTAACAAATTAAGGTTTTAGATGATATGATTTAACACGGACCAATTCATTTCCTTTTAATTGGTCTTCTCTTTTTTAGTTATAAAAGTTGTTCTCTCTATGCATAATAAATAACAGATAGTGTAGAAGAGAAGACAAGATTGGTTGTATTGACTTTTGAGGGGGCAATTTTGCAGGATTTTGCTTATAAAGCAACTGAATTTTTATTGAATTCCTCCTGTAAAGCTTCAAAGGGAGGAAGATGGATTATGTTTATGGGCCAGGAAGGAACCACCTCTTTGTTCCGGGACCTGTCAATATCCCGGAACAGGTCACTCGTGCAATGAACAGAAACAATGAGGATTATCGTTCTCCAGCCATTCCAGCACTTACAAAAACTCTTCTTGAGGATGTCAAGAAAATTTTCAAGACTACCTCTGGAACCCCTTTTTTGATTCCAACCACAGGTACTATATTTGATCAACCATTTAGGTTTTTTATACTCATGTGGTGTTAGGTTTTGTAGGAATGATTGAATGGTACGAATATTATTAAAGAAAACAAAGTTAAAATATCATTTATTATACTGTCCATTACTAAGTGCCTAAAATACACACCAAGATTGTTTACGTTGATCCTCATATTGATGTTTATATACTTTAAAAGAATGCCTTTTACTTGTGGGTCCTGTTTAGAGAAGTTATAGCTTTATATGTGATGATTCATTAATGCCTTTCCATGGATTGAACACTTGTTGCTATGTCATTTTAGGACAGTTTCTTCTTATATTAATTGTTGACTAAGGACAGGAACTGGTGCATGGGAAAGTGCACTAACAAACACATTGTCTCCTGGTGATCGAATTGTATCATTCCTGATTGGCCAATTCAGTTTGCTCTGGATTGATCAACAGCAACGCCTTAACTTCAAAGTTGATGTTGTTGAAAGTGACTGGGGTCAAGGGGCAAATCTTGAGGTTTTGGCCTCGAAGATAGCAGAAGATAAAGCACATACCATTAAGGCCATTTGCATTGTACACAATGAGACAGCAACTGGAGTGACCAACAACTTGGCCACTGTGAGAAAAATACTTGGTGAGCATACATTCTAAATGCATAGGAATTATTCTTATTCTACTAATTATGGATGAATTCATGAGGTGTTAATCTATTTTGTGACCGACTATCAGATCACTATCAGCACCCGGCGCTCTTTCTGGTTGATGGGGTATCCTCCATCTGTGCTCTTGATTTCCGCATGGATGAATGGGGTATTGATGTAGCTCTCACAGGTTCACAGAAAGCTCTTTCTCTTCCAACTGGGATGGGACTCATCTGCGCGAGTCCCAAGGCCCTAGAAGCCACTAAAACTGCAAAATCAGTCAGAGTTTTCTTCGACTGGAACGATTACTTGAAGTTTTATAAGATGGGAACATATTGGCCATACACCCCTTCCATCCAGCTTCTGTATGGGCTAAGAACAGCTTTGGACCTCATTTTCGAGGAAGGTCTTGACAATGTAATTGCAAGGCACGGCCGACTTGCCAAAGCAACAAGGTAAACTTTTTCCTTTTTAGGGACAAAATGGTGTTTGATTCTCATAATCTGTAATATGTGGATGTTACTGCGTATCATTTTCAGGCGTTCTGATACACATGAATCATGATTCAGTGTTTCTCTAAATATATTGAGATTATAATTTTTATCTGTTCAACACTATACATTTTGTCAAATCTGCTTTCAGTCTCTATTTAGTTAAGACTGTTAGAACAAGATTATTCATATCCTACTCGTTATTTAAGGTTTCTACTGATGTTTTGCATGGAAAATTCAGACTTGCAGTTGAGGCATGGGGTTTGAAGAATTGCACCCAAAAGGAGGAATGGTTCAGTGACACGGTCACTGCTGTGGTGGTTCCACCATATATTGACAGCTCTGAAATTGTTAAAAGGGCATGGAAGCGATACAACTTAAGCTTAGGTCTGGGGCTTAACAAAGTAGCTGGAAAGGTTTTCAGAATAGGGCATCTTGGAAACCTGAACGAGGTACAACTGTTATATATGTATGTGTTTATGTTGGTATTTTTGAATATTTACGGACATTTTGCAAGGTTGTGACAGTTGAATATTAGGACAAAACATTTAAACCATGTTTGGTAACGTAAACTTAACAACACTTGACACTATTAGGATGATAAGAAGGTTTAATCTAATCCGCTATACTATTGAGAAGTATCTAGTACTGTGTACCAAACATGTCTTATTACTCTTTACTGTAACGAATCTGATTATCAATATGTCCTTGGATCAAATCCAACTTACTATTTTCAGTAACATTTGTTCTGAACGATCTATATATATTTTCGTATGGGAAGCACTAGAATCTGTAGGGAAAACTCGAAAGCATTTTATTACAGGCAAATTTCATTCTCCTTTCTTCATTTTTCCCAAAAATATGACATCTGCTCACATGAAAACGATGATTATTCCTGCAGTTACAACTACTAGGCTGTCTTGCCGGAGTGGAGATGGTACTTAAGGATGTCGGTTACCCGGTGAAGCTTGGTAGTGGCATTGCAGCTGCTTCTGCATACTTATCCAATACTACTCCCTTAATCCCTTCGAGGATTTGATTCAAGAATTTAAAAATGTAACTATTTCTCCTCTTACCATATGGGTTCTACTGTAAAAATTGCACAATCCCCTCATTCGTACTTGAGGCTTTGAATTTCATCGCTGTTGTTTATGGACCTTTTATATCTAAATCTTTGAACATAGCATTGGCTTTTCTTCTTCCTTGTATGCTCCTCTGATCTTTAGAAATCACTCGTATAACAAACAGGATAGAAACACCAAGCTTACAAGAAAATCTTCAGTCGAGATGAGTAGAAAGCCACTTGGGCGGGGTTGAGTAGCCTGGAGTCGAGTTGCATGGTTTAGAATTTTTAATGTAAGAAAGCCCACGAATCTTTTAGTACCTATACCCTACTAAGCTCTGTTCTGCATAGTTTAAGAAATTCCTGCGTGGCGTGTATCATATTTCTTGACAAGTTGACTGCTCGTTGATTAGTATGAGTGGACTAGTCGGCTCATAATTAGTGAGTGAAATACAATTTCAGTAAAAAATTAGAATTGGCGAGCTTAGTCCATATTTGGAGCTAGCCAGCTCGTGCTTTGCTTGCCCACCCGTGAGTGTGAGCTGACTCGATTGTGGGCTGAGCCAAGCTCAAAGATGGGCTAATCGAATTATTCGACTTGCTCATTTAACATCCTTATATTTGGTATATCAAAAAATTTTGAGCATAGTTCACGGATCTTGAACAAAAACATGGTGATATTTTTTACAATATTATAAATAAAAAAATCATTCGTGACAATATATAATTCACATAGAGTAGTATTTAATTTTAAAATCTTTTTTATGATTTTATTTTACAACTAACTATCAGTTTTATTTACGATATGAAGATCACCTATCTCTATCTTTGCCTTTTTTAGCATTCCGCCAAATTATAATAAAAATGACTGAGCTATGATTATACTTTTCAACAAGGGAAAAATTCAAAACTTAGGCATTAAGTGTGTACAAATCAATTTTCAGGTTCAAAGTTTAAAAATGTAACACTCAGGTATTTATTAATTAATTAAAATATTTTATTAATTAAATGTGTTAAGGTCACAATTTTGCAATTAATGGTCACGAATGCATAAATATAGGTCACAATTAATGATCACATATGTAGAGGTATTAGTCACAGATTATTTATCGGTCACAAATCAAAAAACTTATTAAGTTACGGTTTACTTACCGATCACAGATTAATGGTCACAGAGGCATCGGTATAGGTCACAATGTCACAATTTTGCAATTAATAGTCACATATTATTTATCGATCACAAATAAAAAAACTTATAAGTCACAATTTATTTGTCGATCACAGATTTTCAAATTAATTAGCCACGGATTATCGAAATTTTACGTCACAATTAAATCGTAGGTCACAAATAACTAAATAAATGGTCACATATGTCAAATGGTGGGTCATATACCACCATCACCAACACTATCACACCGCCACTGCCACAAAAACCACTTGCGACAACCTCACCTCATTATCACCAGCACCACCACCAACAACGCCACAACATCACCACCAACAAAATCGCCACCACTCACATCACCACTGCCAACACGAACACCTGCACCATTGCTAGAAACCACCACGACCAAACACACCAACAATACCCAACCAGCCACCTCACCAATAACCAACATCTCCACGGCCAACACGACCACTGTCGAAAACCATCACAGCCATAAAGACCATAACCACACCCAGAAACCACCACCAAAAACAACAATACACCACTCCACAATCTCACCAAAACCACCCACATCAGCAACACAGGTAGAATCAACAAAAATGATTAGAACCAGTAGCAACCACACTCGTCCTTGGCCACAGCAGCGACATCGTCGCTCATAGTATGTTGCAGCGCCGCCAGCCACACACTCACCGAAGAAGAGGCGGATCTACGGAGAGCATGGGAGAAGAGAGAGTGAAGAGAAAGAGATGTTGGACGGAGAAAAGTTAGATCTGCAAAATTAGAGTTCGCAGAAGTCGCCGTTCACAACAGGTGACACCGTTGGAATTAGTTTCACCCGGCGACGCTGCTGAGAACTCTTAGCAGTCCCCGATGTCAACCGCATCCTCTGGCACATCCTCCTTTGTCGCCGATTGCAGAGTTTGACAGGATCGCCGACGTCGAAGACAGTAGGGAGGGATGGTGACGGTGAAATGTTTTATCGCGAGCGTCAAAGAGAGAAGGGAGATACGGTGATGGTGAAATGTTTTGCAGTGGGTAGGTGAAATGAATCAGCTTTGGAGTTCAATTGCGTGGAGATATTATATTAAGCCCTCGTTTGGCCCCATGATTTCTCATTAAATTAAATTAAAATTTTCTCTTTCCTATTTTTAATCACACAATTTTCAATAAAATAATATTACACGTAAATCAAAAACTTTTCTTTTCTTTTTAACCACTCATTTTCAAAAAAAAAAAAAACACTATTCAAAACATTATAATCTCCAAATAATGGGGCTCAAACGGGGGCTAAATCAGATTTGTGAATAATCAAACTTGATACATGATTTTTGAATTGTACCCTTCAACGACCAAGGATTATGTAATTTCCAGTTTCAATAATCTTGCTACAGTGAAAAAGCCAATGACACTAGCGGACCCAAAGGGGGTCCTTGGCCCATCTTTTGAGATTCTTTTTTCTATTTTTGGATAAAGTCCTGTTTTGTATCTATTGAAATCCAAATTTTAATCTAAATCAAAGTTAACAGTTAATTTTAATAATATATGTCATGAAATCTTTAACTTTTTAACATTTATTAAAATTTACTAAAAATTTGATTTTAATCTCTACCAAACAAGGGAAAAATCACAATAATTTTGAATTTTCTTCTTCTATGCTCTATCTTAATTTCTCCCTAGCGCTTTTTACCAAAATCTTAACTCTTAGATTTTTTTATAATTTGTCTTTAATTTCTCTAGAAATTCTCATATCTACTACAAATTTTCACTTTCCAACTAAATTTTCAACTAATTAGAACCTAAAATTGTATTTTCTCCTATCCTATTTGTGTATATAAAACTTGTCTAAACTAATTATATCCAATTAACTTATATGCAATGAATCGTATTTATTTAATTGATTATTAATATTGAATATTGGTTATATTTTTTTTCTTTCAATTACGTGAATAGATTGTTTTTATCAAATACACTATAAATTTTTTTAACATAAATATGCATTTTTAGTGATGAGCAAAATATTAATAAAATGACTATTCAAAATTAAATGGATGAAAATGATGAAAAAAATATTAATGAAGAAATATCTTTAAAATGTAAATCTGCATTTTCTCTGATAAAGTATGAATTATTCAAAAATCAAGAACAAAATATTCGATTTTTATAAAGTTTGATTGTGCTTGCGTCCGCCCTGCTCAATGATAAAAGAATACATGTCAATACATGATTGGACAATTTAGCCAAAAAAGAATAGTACTTATGGTACTATAAGCCCTTATTTGACCTTCATTATATAAATATTCATTTTCTTTCAAACTCATTTTTAATTACATATTTTTTCAATAAAATGATTTTACACGTAAAGTCAAATTTTTTGCATACTTTTTAATTAAAAATTTTTCGATAAATTAGTACAAAACCTATTTAACAAAAAAAAAAAAAAAAAAAAATACAAACACAACAACGTACCAATCACTATCTGCCACACCATTATCGTTATCATTGACCTATATAACGAGTATTGTTCCACTTTTCAATCACTTTCAGAATTGTCGAGTCATCAAAGCTTGATCCACGTTCAGTCTTATTAATGGATAAGTTTATATGCTTGTATGGATAGGCTTCCAATCGTTTGAAGATTATTGCCCCAGATTTTTAAATAAATAAAATAAAAAATTTAGAGTTTGAAGACAAAATTTTCACGTCAGTAATCCCGACAAGAACAATAAAATCTGATGTTGTCTGAAGTATCTTCGTTGGTTTCTCCGAAACGTGTCCACCTCCAGTCTCGCCGCGTCAACCATTGATTTTTCTCTCTAAATTCATCACAATCCCAGTTTTGCAAGCAAATCCGATTCCCTTGTGTAAGTAGCTTCAAATTTCTTCCGTTGTTGATATCCCAAAATGAATTCCACTCAAGAAATTATTGATTCTGATAACCTTTTTGATCGTCTACCAGATGATATTGTGTTATCAATCTTCAGCAAATTAGGAGATGCAAAATCCCTTTGTATTTCGCTGTGTGTTTGTAAGCGTTTTCGTTCAATAAATCTTGAAACTGACCAAATTTTTCTTTCCATTCCTCGTAAAAGAACACTTGTAAGAGACTGTGAGACACACTCAAGTTTCTTCAAGAATCTTGTTTTTAGAATTTTGATAAAATCCGTCCGATTTATTTCTCAAAGAACCAAATTCGAAAAAAATAAGAATGATGATGAGGATTATTGTTCTTATTATCCTCCAAGTGAAGTTCTGAAGTCTTTTCAAGAAATTCGGTTACTTCATCTTAGACTGCCATGTCATGGAAGTGAAAAACTGGTTTCAAAAGCTCGTAAGAAGAGTAATTCAACTTTCTTGAAATGGAAAGCAGAATTTGGGAGCCAACTAAATAATTGTGTGATATTGGGAGCTAAATCTTGGATTGAGAAACCCGAAAATGGAGAAAGTTTGCTCGAATCAGACTCCGAATCGTCTGTAATTGATGATCATGAGCTGAAGTTGAGGATTGTTTGGACAATTTCATGTTTGATGGCAGCATCCGCCAGACATTATTTGATACAAGAAATCGTTAAGGAACGTGAAATGATCGAGAAAATTGAGGTGTCAGATGAAAGTGAACAGGGGAGGCTTTGTATGAACAAGGAACAAATTGAAGAGCTGAGGAGTTTGAAGGAGAGAGATACATTTTTGAGGTATAGGATGAGAGTACCTGCTTTGAAGATGAAAATATGGTACATGAAAAAGTTGGAGTTGCCGGAATCAGGGGAGGTTCTGGAGGGGGCGACGCTAGTGGTGGTAAGGCCGGTTGGCGGTGGAGGAGATTATGTAGATGGTGGAAGTGGTGGTGATTTGGTGGCTGAGGTGTTTGATGGGGCAGAGGAAGTGGTGGTGCTTGGTGAAGTAGTGAAGAAATTGATGGGGGCTAAATGTTACACTTTAGAAATGAATTCGTTCTGATTTTTCTTTAGTTGGTTTATGTTTAGTCAGCTTTTACCTTTTACCTTTTCCTCTGTAAATTTCTTACTGAAATTTATATTTATCTCAAAATTAAGCTATAGAGCTCATGACCTAAATTAAATCCCTGTATTAAAATCTAAACTTAAATTTAGCAGCAACATAAAATTTCTGGTATCCAAAGATAGATTGCATTAGAATAAATATGAGCAGAATTTCTAGAGCCAAAAGACTAATTCCGTTTGGAAGCGACAAACAGAAATTTCAATATTCTGTGACACATTTTCCATTATCGCTAGCCAGTGGAGCTTTTTTTTTTTTTTTTTTTTTTTTTTGATACCCAAGTGTCCGCCTTACAGCGACTAATTCTTGGGCTTACAATCCAGCCCCTCTTCACGCAGATCAGATAAATCGCGGGTTGTGCCCCAAACTAGCCAAGGTCCAAGAGCCCTCCCAATTGAACTGCCAAAGTGTCGAGCGAGTCAAATTCATGTATGCACCTTGCCTTATAGGAGACTGTTATTGACCAAAAATCAAAAGTCTAACCAATGGTTGACTGATTTTTAAATGGGCAAATGTGTAACTTTGAATTAAAATAAAATAAAATAAAAAATCAGATTGCAACTAAATGCAACCAAATGAAACCTACCGCCACACCTTCATCACCGCCCCGTCGACAAATACCATCTATGGCTATAGCTAGGGTGGCTTCGGCAACTGTCTTGGCCTCCCTAAATGTGGCTGCTGCGGTGAATGGCTTTGCTTTGGGTTTTGCTGGGGATGCTCCATCATCGCCCCATTCGCTAATATCAATGCTCCACCACTGAAATCCAACTACCTGGCCGCCTTCATCGCTGAAATATCCACGGTCGTCTTTACTGGAGCAGCCTCCAGTTGTTGTGACCTTTTTGAAGGGAGCTCCCCTCCCTCCTGCTCCATTCAAAAAACCAAAAACAATGAAATCCACCAAATAACAAACTTCTATAAGAAATTCAATAAATAGAAATCGAATTTAAGTGTATTCTTCACAAGAATCCCCAAAATCGAATGAATTTGAAATAGAAATCTCATAAAATCACTAAATTCGAATGAAACATAATCTTATTATTTCATTACTCGCATAGCTTAGATTCAAGCAAAAAATCTATCAAAACATTATTTCATTGGTGGAAACTAGTGATGGGCGTTGTGGATGCTGGCAATGGATGTTGATGAGGGTGTGGTGGTGGGTTTCTTTTGGTTGGGTTTAGGAGGAGGTGGGGTATGAGAGTAGGTGCATAGAGGAGAAGATGAACAGTTGCTCTTATTTTTTTTTCCTCCTTTTTAATGTTAATTCGAAATTACACATTTGCCCCTTTAAAAATCAGTCAACAATTGGTCAGACCTTTGATTTTTTGTCAATAACAGTTAAACTAACGGTTTCTGTCAATTTGGACTCCGAGTGCGAATTTTTTAAAGGTTTGATACCTTCGATGGTACAAATGAAAGGTTTGAGTAAAGTCTGCTAATAAACGAAAAGTTTGGTATCTTGACTGCAATTTTCCCTAAGACAAGACTGAAAAATATTATAAATAAAACTGCAGACTGACCCTGCACGACCCCCATTGGGTCCGCCCCTGTCCACTAGTATCCAATCCCCTTAACAAAGGTAGCTGTTGGACTGTGATGACTAATGTCCTTTTGGGGCAATGATGATAAGGCTAAGGCCCAAAAATGGATTTTGGATTAAAACATACAATTGTCTGGTATATTGACCCAAACTCGGGTCCAAATGAGTAAAAGGCGTGTTTTGAAGCTTGGCGTTCTTCCTTGGCAGCAGCCCAACACGTTTTTGCACCTTCTGGTTATTTGTGATACCATCTGGACCATTGGATTGAAGATATGATCAATGATTGGTGATGAGGGTGTGAATAATTCTTGGTTGCCCCATTTGATACTTTGGGTAATTAGTAAAAAACATCTTTACCTTTCAATGTTATCGTGCAAAATATCTCTATATTTCATTTTTTGGCACTTTTACCTTTACTTTCACATTTTATTGCGAAAATCATCGTTTTCATCAAATTTCTTGTGTAAAATGACAGATATACCCCATATTTAAATAAAACAATAAAAAAGAAAAAAAAAGTTAAAGAATAAATTGCAATTATACTTCCAAGCTTTAAAAAAACGCAAATGAGTCCAAATAAATTATTAAAAAAGGTAATTTTCACAAAACGTTCATACCTTTCATCATTATTATGCAAAACGTCCATAACTTTCATTTTTTGACATTTTCATCCTTATTTTTATATTTCATGACGAAAATTATTATTTTAATCTATTTTCTCAATTTAAAGCTATAAAATGACAAATATGCACTCGTCTTTAAATAAACAAAAATAAAAAAATAAAGAACAAATTGCAACTATATTTCCAAAACTTTCAAAAATGTACAAATACATTTCAAATAAATAATTACAAAATAAAATATTTTTTGTGTTTTAAATTATTTATTTAAAATTTATTTGTCTCTCTTTGAAGGTGGGTATGGAGTTTTTTCATTTTCCCAATGACTATATTAGAGGTTCACCTAGTCGAATACTCAATTCGGGCGCTAGTAAGACCCAAACATTATGGATGATTATTACTTGGATGCTGCGAACAAAACCAATTCTCAAGATGTGAAGATAGTGTTATATGTGATGAGCCAAACTGAGCCGCTTGACTCACGACTCGACCCACGAGCTTATTTTGTGGTGGGAGGAGATTCCATAACTACTCTTTTTATCTAAAAAATGTGTCTTTGAACTCATGAACCAACTCGTTCATTCCTCGGCTCCTGCTCGTAACTCGTTAATACGCGAGTCGGGCCAAATCGAGTCAGTATACGACTCGGCCCACTTAACAGATGGGTCATGTATATATAGCCCTTAGAATGCCCCACTTTCCTTTTAAATATTTATTCATTTTTACCTTCCAATACAGTCCCAATGGATTATCAGCGGTTATTGAATTGTCCTCTAATCTCCATTCTTGGATTTGGGTTTTTTTCTTAACCCCCAAGTTTCAGCGACAATTTTCTTCTAATATTTAGCTTCAGCTCCTACAAAATTCTAGTGTGCTCCCGATCAAAGCCCAGAATTTTTGGTCGCAGATTAGGAAAGTGACTAAGAAAAGGATACCCACAAATCGATTTTCGTATAAAAAGAACTGAACAAGTAGAAAATGGAAGCAAAGATTGGGAAATTCTTCGAGTCAGTCGGTGATTTTTTCACCGGCGGCGATCAGATCCCTTGGTGCGAGCCTGACATCATCGCTGTAAGTATATATATATGTTGTATAAGACTGTGGGGTTGTAGGGATAAATTGTGAATAAAGCTAGGGTTTTTAAGTTTGTGAATTCTTTTATTTATGGATGTGTGTACAGTCTCTTGAATTATAGGGAATTGTGACTAGAATTAAGGTTTAGGTTTAGAGATTCTTTGGTATTGCGTTTTATTCCTGTCATTAGCTCATTCTATGATGGGAGTCTACTGTGTTTTGAAATTTTAAGTTAGGTAAATCAAGATCTGGTTATGTGATTAATTTGTGTTTGATTTGTAAGAAAAATCAAAATGCGAAACAGATGGTAATGAACAGCGGCCATGGACAGGAAAGGTATAATTCCCAGTATGGTTTCATTAACATCTGAAGACTGAACTAAACCAGCCGTGGACAGGATAGATATAATGACCTGTTTGGCTTAGTTAAAAATCAGATTTTTGGTAGATTTTGATAAGAATTGATAAAATGTGGTTGAAAAGTTGATAAAAGTGCCGTTTGTGGTTGAAAATGATCAGGGCGATAAATTCCTCAATTGTCTATGCATTGGAATCCAATAACTAGTGATTGCATACATTGTTTTATTAGAGAAAAATAGAATATCGAATTTCAGAGATGATAACCCTTCAACGGTCTCTGTATTTTCTCATTCCATAGAAAACATTGCCAGATTTTCTAACACATGCATTATTTGGTTGATATTTGCAGAATTGAGTTGCTAAATTCATGCTACCTTGAAATCTTTTCAGGTGTATGCGAACATTGAAAATAAACAGTTATTTAATAGTTTGAAACAGTTATCAAGCAGATTTAATATATATACAGCTACGTGTTTTATTAAAAGATAAATGTAAATGCACTTTGTTATGGTGTAATGTGTGTTTATTTGCAAATTATCTTGCACTGTGGACTTTTAGCTCTTCAACATCCACTTGTTCCTTATGACGTTATCATTTTTTTTAGCATGTTTCTTAGAATTATGCATCTTCAGGGCTGTGAACGTGAGGTTGCTGATGCTGAGAAAGGTTCCTCTGATGAACTTAAAAGTCAATGCATCATGCGATTGTCTTGGGCTCTTGTTCACTCAAAAAGGGCAGAGGACGTCCAACGTGGGATAGCGATGCTTGAAGGTGTAACCAGTGACAAGGATCTCTCTCTCTCTCTCTCTCTCTCTCTCTCTCTCTCCCCCTGTGTCTGTGACTTGTAAAATGGTAAACTAGGTGATATTTTTCGTGACTAGAGAAGTTCTTTTTTGCAGCTTCCTTGGCTGGAAGTGGCAGCAACCCACTACAAGCTAGGGAAAATCTCTATCTTCTTGCTGTTGGATACTACAGAAGTGGAGATTATTCAAGAAGCAGGCAGCTTGTTGAGCATTGTTTAGAGGTCTTATAATTGCGCTCTCATTTTTCTGTAGGCTTATCTCTATGAACTGTTGGAATTATGAGAAAGGAAATTCAAATCAGTTTTTTGTTGCATTCATCTGGTAAGTTTGATTGCTAAAGTGGGTATCAATTTGTAGGTAGCACCTGACTGGAGGCAAGCCTTGACCCTAAAGAAAGTGATTGAAGATAAAATAAAAAAGGGTAAATTTGAACTCCACTTATTTGTCAATCTCCTCTTTGTCTCCCTTTATTACAAAACTCTTTAATTTTCACTCATTTTCAATCATACATTCACACAATAAAATGTTTTGCATGTAAACACAAATTTTCCCACTTTTTAACCGCACATTTTCTTAAAAACACTGTTCAAAAATCTTTTTTTTTTTTTTTTTAATAATCAATAATGACACCATCAAAGACATAATATCCCGGCGAATGTTTTTGTACACAAAACACGTTTGCATTTGGATACATTGAATGCATGTTTTATACACCAACAAAGATTGGACAACTATAAATGAACAAGAATTTAGCTTTTTTGCCCGTAATATCGTGCAACTTTATCCAATCTTCCCTACTTTACATGCTATGAAGACACTAAAAATTAATTTATGCGATTCTTTGTTATGCAGATGGAGCAATTGGCATCGGCATTGCTGCAACTGCAGTTGGAGTTTTGGCTGGTGGCGTTGCAGCAGCAGTGGCAGCAGCTCGCAAGAAATAATCTACAGTGCATTATGTCTTTGTTGAAATTCATGTTATCTGCCTGTATTTGCCGTTTTCGTTTATGTAAAATCTTGTAGTAGTTATAATCAAGGTGCTTCCTCGTGCATTAGGTACAAATCTTTTAATACCAAGAAAAGAATAATGAGTATAACCAGCTTCTTTCTTTGGTTATGTCACTGTTTTTAATCTTTTCCTATTATTGATTATATGTTAATGCTGGAATGCTCAACAATTGCAAGTAATGAAAACAGGTAGGAAAAGCAATAAAAACTGAATGCATTTGCATATGGAATTTACATGGAAGCTGCTCGTACGAGCTAGTAGTCGACTAGGAATGTACATTTCTCATCCCAACCTCCTCGCAAGGCGTGCAAGGGGAAAAATTAGAAGCATGGTCTAGCCAAAAGAATGATAAAAGGTTAGAGAAAAAGACAAATAATTAAGAGAATTTTGCTGGCAAACATGAATGCCAATTTCTGAAAGATGAATGCCAAACCTTCGACTGATATGGTCTTCCCTGTGGCTAAAGCCGAAATATATTGGGAGGGATAAAAATAAAAATCATAAACACATACTATGCAATGTGTTAATGCACCGAGTCTTCGCTTCCTATGCCAACGCTCGACCTTTTTATCATCCGTACGTTGTAGAGTTCATGCACTCTAGCCCAGTTTTCTGCTCACCATTCTTTTGCTTGCTTCTAACTAAATCTTAGGGGAGGTGCCTCGCATGCTTGAAGCTTGTTTGCTTTGTGCCACAGCATGTCGCATCGCCTCACTTCGTCCAGGGATAGTTCAACCTCTACATGGGAGTTTGACGGAGTGCATCACTTCGACTACGTAGAGGTCCTCGGATAGGTCATGTAGGATAATGATGTAGTACGGATTCACTTATTATGTGGTGTCACATGATTGTTTCGTGAAGTCTCGTTGGATAAGGTGTAACAAATACTATTATACAAGTGCAAAGAAGCACAAAAATCATTAAAAAAGGAAAATGGTATATTTTTTTCTTTTAGAAAAAAGCTCCTTGCACATGCCCATTTGTACAAGGACTGTGCAAATGGACCTGTGCAGGTACCACATTTGTTTCTTTTAATGTGTGTAGACAAGTTGAGAGGACTAAAGTAAAGTAAACATTCCAAAAAAGCCATGGAAAGCCTTATCCTCCATTAATGGTATGTAATTAGACATGCTATTTGCACTTAAAAAGTTACTCTTTTTAATTTTAAAAAAAAAAAAATTTACTTAAAAATTAGATGTTTATAAGATAAAATAATTTTGCACATAAACTCAATTTTTTTCTCAACATTTTTACATTAAGTTTAACCTACATGTGTTGTTATTTAGACTTTGGTGTTAAACTGCACTGACTCTAAATAACATTATTCTAACAATTTGGTGAAAATTTATGATGCTAAAGTTCAAAAGCCATGTAAGGGCCTTCTTTTGATGATTGGTCAAGTAATGAAAATGTTGTATTTTTCGGTACATCATTATGGATTAAGTTAGTGTGATTCTATCTATCGTTCTAGGATTCGTATTCGAGCTATTGGAATTTTCTTTTGGGTGCCTGACGGACTGTTGCCTATAGTTGGTAGGTAGGGCGGGTGGTATTGCTTAGATTGTGACCAATTCCAATTTTGGTGTTTCGTGTGATCAATGCAATATATTGTTAGTCATCTCATAACTAATACGTAGATTTTGTTAGTTATTACACGCACAAGCGTATTAAGATATTGCAGTATGCATTATTTAAGTCCAAGTCACATATGATTATTCATAGAAAACATGTCATTAAATTTATGTCATATTTTTTTAAGCAAAATCTAGCAACTATAACAACAAATTAGTCATTTGACGTAGCAGAAGTTATAGGGAAGATGAACAAATCTCACAAAGAAGAAACTCACGAAAAATTTTATTTCATTCAAATCAATCTGCGGCCTCAAAAAACTTACAACGCATTTATAGCAAAAACCTAGAAAATTCGAAAATTAAATAATGTGGAAATTACATAATCCCATACTTTAAGTAATCAACATTCCTAAAACAGATTTGAACTTTAATATTTCAAAAATCAGAAAAAAATTTATATTAATTATTCCAGACAATTTTATATTTAAATATTAAACATTCATTATATAAATTTCATTTCAAAACCCTAATGACTTTCTCCTCTCCTCCTCTCTTCATGGCCTCTCTACCAGGCGTCGCACCCTCTTCTCTCTCCGACGGCTCTGGACCCAACCAAACGACACCTTGTAGCGGCAGCGACAGCACTGTACACGATCGTTGACAGCGACAATCGTGTGTAGAACCACTGGAGTCTATCTCTTTTCATTCCACTTCTCCGTTGGTGTCATCCCCCTGGTACCGTCGACTCTCCGCAATAGTAGTGCGCCTATCGCCCGCATTGTAGCCACGATTTTTTGGTGGTGGTGGTGGTGGCGTGGCGGCGACGATGACACTGAGATTGGGGATTTTTTGGTTGATGGTAGTTTGAGCATTTGGTAGCGGTGGCGTGGTGGTGTATGCGGTGCTGTGACCTATAATTTTGATTCGTGACCTAAAAATATTCTGTGACCTATAATTTTTTGAATTTGTGATCAATGATATGATTTGTGACTTACAAAATTTTGATCTGTGACCTCGAACAAATTTGTGATCTATAAAATTTTTGGATTCGTGACCCAAAAATATTCTGTGACCTATAAATTCTTTGATTTGTGACCTATAAAATTTTTGGATTCGTGACCCAAAAATATTATGCGAACTATAATTTTTTGAATTTGTGATCAATAATGTGATCTGTGACTTATAAAATTTTGATTTGTGATTTCGAACAAATCTGTGACCTATAAAATTTTTAGATTTGTGACCCAAAAATATTATGTGACCTATAATTTTTTGAATTTGTGATCAATGATTTGATCTGTAACTTACAAAATTTTGATTTGTAACCTCGAACAAATCTGTGACCTATAAAATTTTTGGATTCGTGACCCAAAAATATTATGTGACCTATAAATTCTTTGATTTGTGATCGAAAAATAAGTTGTGACCAATAATACGATAAGTCGTGACTAAAAATTAATCCGTGACTAATTAATTTTTTAATTTATGACCAACGAAAAAACTGTGACTTACAAAATTTTTGAATTGTGAACGTAAAAAAATTTGTGACATAAAATTTTTGATTTGTGACCAAAAAATAATAAGTAACTAATTATATTGTTAATTTGTGATCAAATTGTATAGATTCATGACTTAAATATATTTAATTAATAAAATAATTAATTAACTAATTAAATTATAAATAATTTTTAATAAAAGTCTGATTTTAGAAATTTGAAACTTGTTTTCTTATTTTTGAAATGTGCTATAATTAATTTCTTAGTTATGAAATTTTCCCTAACAGTTATTAATACTCTATGAACTTTTTATGTTACATCCAGTATTGTTCTTCGAACCATTTTCCAACAAAATACAGTTGAGCAATTACTTAATGACTATCGTATTGGGCTTCCAAGTGTTTTGGGTGCACCAGGCCCGTGATGTAGTGCAACGTATGAGCAACACTCGGAAGTCCAAATAACATTGGGCCTTCCTTTATTTGTTTCCCAAAATCGATGTGGGATCGGTTTAACAAGAACACTAATGAATTTGCTGTGAAATCACTCTGCTGCATTTTGATTTTTGAATCAATCAATGACCAAAATTAAAGCATTTTAGTAAGAGTAATAATAAGTTATTTAAAATATGATAAAAAGAAAAGGACATATTATAATTAATTATTATTATAATAATTATTTACACACAGCAGTGTCCAAGTGCTTAGCAATTTACTAAACACTAACTATTTTTTCTACTACTAATTATTTCTTCGGCAAATCTAAAGCTAATTCTCTTGAAAACGCATCAATACCAAACTATAAAAATGTTAAGGAGGTGATGGTAGAAAACAAAGTCAACAGGCAATTTATTTAAGTCCCCGTTTATTAGCAATTTTTCATCCAAAAAAAATCATTTTTTTGACCGTTATTTCACTATTCTAGCCATCATTTTTGAATTATTTACTCACAGGTGAGACCCACTTTCTCTCTAACCGTCAAAAAATCAATTTTCATAATCATTACCGAACAGACCCTAAATGTCCCAACACTTGCCAATTCAAAAATAAGTCAAAACATTGGAATAGGGGAAAACCATTTTGTTTGGTTTGTTTTAAGAACAATTCTCAATGTATAGAATTATTTTCACCAAAGAAAACCAGAAGTCTCACGTGCCTCGACCCCATGTGGGATCCAATGTAATAAAAAATGACCAAAAAAATTCCGACCTCACCTCCATTGTGAGACCTCTGTAAGAGAGGTATGTGAAATCTGGGTTTGTACACCCAGCACGCCTTTAATTTTAAAATTGTGATTTGTTTGGATTAAAGGAAAAATAAATTCGTCATTGTAAATTTATAAAAGCTGAATTTTGAAGAAGTGAATATTCTGGTTAGATATTTGAGTGACAAGAATTTCCTTTCTTGAGACCGAGAACCAAAATTCAAGTTGATCAACCAAGTATTAGATAAAAATCATGTCTATAAAAGGAAAAAAAATGCTGGTATAAATTTAAGAGTTCAACATCTTATGTTTAACAATGTAGCAAAATGAACAAAGTGAGATATAGTAGACTAGCTTTTACGAGTTGCACATTTATAAGTTTAGTACAATATGAGAGTTATCATCTCGATAGTCAAACACACGTCACAAATGAGCCGACACATAACGCTTCTTACTAGGGCATGATGTGCCTGCCAATCTTGAAATAAATAAATAAATAAATAAATCTCACTTCACATAGAGATGGCTTTACCTAGCAAAATTATAGAAAGGCCTAATCATTCATCAATAACAAGTGCTAGTTTCACGTCTTCTTTTTCTTAAACTACGTCAATTTATCCATGTTTGAAAAGTTGATAACCTAAATATTAGAATAGAATGGACCACTATCTCCACTTATTTGACTTAAATCTTATTCGTAATTGTCTTGCGAATTCCGACATAAACCTAACAATCTTTGTTGACCATAGCTAGATTTATCATATTTTCATTAAGAGGAAATTGCACCATATATCACTTTTTGAATTGACAGTTTAAAAAATTTCACCTTTTAATATTTTCACAAAAATGTGACTTTTGAACTTTTTTGCCCTTCTACAAATTTTAAATACCTTGCATATCTTCCATTAATTTTTTATTTGACCAGTTGAAATAGTTGTTTCAAAGAGTTGAAAACATCACACATCAAACCCATGCCCACACCCATGTACTAGACTCACAACCTACCCACATTGCTGGAATTTTCTCTTCTTCTTCCTCACATTCTCCTCCTCCAATGCTCAAAATAAACTTTAAACCATGATCGATAAAGCATTCCACCCCTTAGTAACAACTCCTCATTTCCACTTCTTTCTCAAGTTGTTGATTTTTCCTTCCATGGTATGTATCGAAATTGACGTGGACAAGAAGTTTGTATCCCCAAAAGTAACTTCGATAAGAAAGTAGCTCGATTTTCTTCTCATTTCTAACACAAGGTATGTTCATCTCCCATTGTTTCATTAACTATGATTTAAGAATTTTGAATTTTTTAATATTATTCAAAAATGTTGGATTTTTGGCCAAAAATGTATAATCTTTTAGGAAGTTGTATTTTTGTCTCTAATAGGTGGTGGATTTGCTTCGAAATTGGAATATACATGTCCATTGTGCTTTATTTTCTCATGAATTAAGTTATTGTAAAGGATTTAGGATGTGCTTCGACGTACATGATCATTGTAGGTTTAGCAATGTAAGTAGAACTAGCGAATTGATAAGTTTGCAATATTGTTCAATTTGTTGATTCATAGCTTAGGTAATGTGGTTCATTCTATGTTTTATTCTATGGTTGATTCAATTTGTTGCAATCTAGTTCATTCTATGTCATTGTGATTAGAAAACTTTATTCATGTTTACATCGGAGGAGTTCTTTAAAAGTACAGACAAAACTTTTGTCAAGAAAATCAGTCATTATCGCCAGATGGTTACTAGATTTCTCTACAGTTTGAATGGTCGATTGTTATAATAAAATAAATACGTGTTTGAGTAGCCTCATTATATGTTATATGAATTCATTACATGTTAAATCAATCCTCTGACATTGGAATTTGTTCTTGTTAATGGAGTTGTAGTTGATTTCAAACTCTTTACAATAAGAGTGGCTGGAAAACATGGAAGAATAGTACTTAATAGGACTTCTTTAACTCAGACAACTGTGTTGCTTTTGGACTTATAATTTCTCGTCCTATTTTGAAATTATATGATGACGTGTACGTCAAGCAACTTATTTTTATGTTTGTTTAGTTCATGTTCATGTGTGAAAAGACATTTTTATGGTGTAGCAGGTTAGACTATCCAATTATCATTTTATAAGGAATTGTTTGTAAATATGTTAGACGATGAAAGGTGCCATCACTAAGTTCCTTTTTCTCAACTTGGATGACGTTTCTAGCCAATCATCCCAATTACTAAACCATGAACTCGATGATATTTTCGAATACACGGTTCCTAACAAAGATGATTCTAGTAAATGATGAGTTAATTCGTAACATCTCACCATCCAATGTCATTATCATAAGTACGAATGATGAGGGGGAAGTTAGTAGGAGCGAAAGTTCAAATGTCGACGATGCTTGATGTAGGCAAATAAGGCATCATGTTATTGGCTATATTTAAATTTTATACATTTATTGAAGATTACGTGTTAATGTATAACCATAATATTGTGTCCGATCAATCATTATGCCCGAATATTTGGTCTATTTTACTCCTTAACAATTCACAGTTAATGAAATCTTATATTCTGTAAAAAGTAGAACTTTTTTGTACCTGAACAAAATTTGCAGTGGTAATAACATGAAAATGACAATATAACATACACAATGAACAAAGTCATTGTAACATACAAAATACAATTTCAAGCCTTAAACATCATTCAACTATATTTGCTTGGTATTGGATTAGGGTTCGAATATGTGGCCTAATTATGCCGAACTAGTCCATGCGACATGATGAATCTCTCATTATTACTTATTCCTGAAAATTTGAGATATCAATGATATGCATTCGGCACAATTCATACATTGGACTTTATATCATACAAGTGGCACCTACGAATAAATTATACCAAAATAGTAAATCGGTGAGACTGATAGTTTAAATGTCTTTTCTGACATTTACTAAATGTTGAGTTCGACATTTTAGATGTTGATCTTTATATTCTAGTTCGACAGTTGAACTGTCGTTATTACAGTTAGCACTTGATAGAAAGATTATGAAACAATTTTTATTATTTATTTTTTGGTTAACAATTCTATCGTTAATTGTATGTACCAAAACAGTAAATCGGTGAGACTGATAGTTTAAATGTCTTTCTTGACATTTACTAAATGTCAAGTTCGACATTTTAACTGTCGATCTTTATATTCTAGTTCGATAGTTGAACGGTCGATATTTACGGTTAGCACTTGATAGAAAGATTATTAAACAATTTTTATTATTTATTTTTTGGTTAACAATTCTATCGTTAATTTTATATTTATACATATTCAAGGGCGGAGCTAGCACCTGGCAAGGGGGCGCGGTCGCGCGTGATGGCTCCGCCGGAGTCTTCAGTCAGTTCAGTGGCCGCCAGGTTGGCAATTGCAGACGGAGCCAGTCAGCCAGGAGGAACTTAGTTTCAGCCGGAAGAAGATGACCCCTTTTTTCATTTTTTCTTTGGGCTAGTCTAACTGAAATTGGGCCTATTTAAAAAAAAAAAATTGGCCCAAATATGGAAATTGGATCCATTAAAACGGACGGTCCGTGGATCTTTGGATATATTGGTTTTAATTGACATTTCTCCCAACTCCCAAACCTAAAATTAGCCCCAAAATCGTAAATCCTTGGTCGGTTGGTCCCTTCCACAGTTCCATTATATAGAAACCAGTTACCCACAACCCATTTACCCTTCAATTTCCATTTGAAGCAGTAGCACTAGATGGAGGCGGTGAGTCGATGATTCGGTGAACGTGCGTGTGCCGCCAATGTGCCGTGCGACCTGTGCAGCTGTGCCTATGTGCGAAGTCTTAGAGACTTAGGGACGAATCTCCGTCTTCTCTGACCAGACCAGTGACAGACTCCGAAGTCCGAGGCGAGTCCACGAGTGGCGAAGCCGAGCACGAGCAGGCGAGCAGCTAGCAGTGTACATTGTAGGCCGTAGCATTGGCGATTGCCTATTTGGTGAGTTAAAGTTTATTAAGTTCAATATTTAAAGTTGAAGAGTTGAATATTTGGTTAATTGAATTGTTTTGGTTGTCTGAATTCTAATTGTCTCAACTCTGTCTCTGTTGTCTGTTGAGTGTTGACTGTTGAGAAATTGAGTGTTGCTGTGTTGACGACTTGTCGTATTGTATTTGTTGATTTGTGCAATTGTGCTGGTGCAACTACAATTTGCCGACCCTTTGTTCAATTGTTGTATGTTATGCAATGATGCCTGAAGTGACGGTGTTGAGAGTTTGTTGAGCACTTGGAATCTTGGATGACTTGAGTTGAGTGACTCTGTTGAAGATTTGGAGACTTGAAGTGTTGACACTTGACTGGCTTGAGTGTTGTGCATGTTATTAGTTATTAGTTATTAGTGATAGTGAATCAATGTTTAATTCATATAGTTGTAGCAAAGGAAATTAGGATTTAGGAATTATTACTAAGAATTGTGATTTTTTTAATCAATTCTAATTGAAATTAAATTGGGGGCATTTTGCAGAGTATGGATCGATTCTTTCAACCGAAACGGAAGTCAATACCTAGTTCTCCTAGTTCTAGTTGTGCTTCTAGTCCGGCCACTGTTTCTAGCCAAGCACGCGTGTTGTTAAATAACACAAAGAAGTCTCGAGCTCAATTCAATGTAGATGATCTTGTATTTGATCCAGGGAAACGTCCCCCTATCGAGTCATATGATCCTAATATCAGAGATGATGTTAGGATGACATACTTGGAGAAAGGTCATTGTCAACCATATGGGCACGACTTTCCAAGAAGACCGATGGGAAATGATAATAGGTGTTTTCGGAAAGAATGGTTTTCTGAATTTCATTGGTTAGAGTACAGTATAGAAAAGGATGCGACTTATTGTTTGCATTGCTACTTGTTCAAACCTGATAGAGGGGTCAAGGGGGTGGACATATATTCACCAAGACCTGCTTTAGGGATTGGAAGCACAAAAAGACATTGAAAGATCACGTTGGGCTCTTTGATGGGCTTTAGGGATTAGAAGCATAAAAAGACATTGAAAGATCATGTTGGGCTCTTTGATAGTGCTCATAATCAAGCTTTTGCAAAGTATACTAGTTTGATGAATTAAAAGCGAAGTACCTCCTACGTTATTTCTAGCCAGAGTAGTAGTCAACAAAATAGTTATAGGACAAGGTTGATTGCGGTGCTAGATTGTACTAGATTCCTCTTGATGCAAGGATTGTCATCTCGTGGTCATGATAAATCCAAAGAGTCTCTTAACAGAGGAAATTTAATTGAGCTATTAAATTGGTATGCAACTCGTCGTAAAGAAATTGAAGAAGTGTTATTTAGTAGCGCTCCTGGAAATGACCAAATGACTTCACCAAACATCCAAAAGGATTTGGTTAATTGTTGTGCCGTAGAGACGAGAAGGGCTATTATCAATGAGATGAGTGATTCTTTGTTTTCAATTTTGGTTGATGAGACTCGTGATAATTCTATAAAATAACAAATGACAGTTTTTTTGAGGTTTGATGACAAGAGTGGGAAAGTGGAGGAGCGTTTGTTGGGCATTTCTCATGTTATTGATACTTGTGCCCAATCACTGAAGGATGCTATTGATGCAATGTTTTCTACATATGGATTGAGCATATCTAGTTTGAGAGGTCAATGTTATGATGGATCAAGTAATATGTTAGGTGAATTCAATAGCTTAAAAGCTTTAATTTTAAGAGAAAATTCATATGCTATATATATCCATTGTTTTGCTCACCAGCTTCAATTGGCGGTTGTTACTGTGGCACGTACGGATCATATGCTTGGTGATTTTTTTAACATGCTTGCTATTATTGTAAATTTGGTTGGTGCATCATGTAAGTGTGTAGATGCTCTTCGAGCAAGTTATCATGCCGATATTCTGGAGAAACTTAATATTGGGGAACTTACTGATGGAACTGGTCAGTTTCAAGAAATGCGTTTAGCATGCCCAGGTGAAACTAGATGGGGCTCATATCTACTGACAATTACTCGCTTTATTAGTATGTTTAATGCCGTCATAGATGTTCTTGAGAATATATCAGAAGATGGCATAAATATAGCTCAAAAATCAATGGCCGTAAGACAGATGAACACTATGCAAGATTTTGAGTTTGTGTTCAGTGACTTCAGTCCCCACTTTATGTTTGAAATTCTTGCAATTACAAACAACCTTTCACAAGCCATACAAAAAAAGGATCAAGATATTCAGAATGCTATGAGGTTATTGAAGTTGTGTAAGTACTCATTGCAGAATATGAGAGACAATGGTTGGGATACATTGTTGAGTAAGGTGATTGAGTTTTGTATTGATAGACATATTTCAGTGCCCAATATGGAAGATATTGTAGTATTGAAAGGTCGACTTAGGCGTGCAGCTCCATAGGTGACTTATTATCATCGCTTTTATGTTGATTTGTTTTGTCATGTGATAGACTCAATCTTGCAAGAATTGAATAATCGTTTTTCAGAAACAACTATTGAGCGCTTTGATTGCATTTCGTGTTTAAGTCCAAGAGATTCATTTGCAGCTTTTGATCAGGCTAAATTGGTACGTCTTGCCCAGTTCTATCCTTTGGACTTCAATAGTGACGAGCTTTTATTACTTAGACCTGAACTTGACAAGTTTGTTATACTTATGAGATTCGACGAAATTTTTTTTAACCTCAAAAGCATATCTTGTGTAGCTCAGAAGTTGGTTGAAACTGGAAGTAGTTGTTATTTTCCATTGGTTTATAGGCTGATCACCTAGGTTTTGATATTACTTGTGGCAATTGCAAGTATTGAAAGTGTATTCTCCACTGTGAATTTAATCAAGAGTGACTTGCACAACAAAATGGGAGATCACTCGTTGAATGACCATTTGGTAGTTTATGTGGAGAAAGATCTTTTTAAAAATGTTGAGAATGAGGCAATAATGCAATGTTTTCAAAATATGAGACCTCGTAGAATTCAGTTGTCTGAGTTTACAGTTACAGAGTAAGATTGTATCTTATATTTTTTTAGTATTTTGAATTGTATTGAACTATATATTCATATGTATATAATGTTTACATATATATCGAACAATTTTTAATATTATTTAATCAAATTTTAATATGGTCGTTGATTATCGACGGTCAAAGATCAATAGTCAAAGTCAAAGTTAACTGCCCTAGCTGAACGTGGAACCTAGTTCCGCCCCTGGATATATTCATAGGTTTTTCTTATACAAATCAAACATCAAATCATACCATTAATTAGTATTAATGAGCAATAAATATATCCAAAAATGCATTTACAAGGGTAATTGGACCTTTCACACTAAAGAAACATATTTTTGGGCACATTTTGGAAAAGTAACAAATTTTAGTCGGTTAGTTTGAACCTAAAAAAGGGGACCTGTCTAGTTATAGGTAGAGAACAGAACATTTGAAACCTGTTATAATTGCCTAAGATTTCAAACCCAAAACCCCACTACTCCATGAAATTTTTTTCTTTAATTTGTTTATTTATCGATCTAATTATCTCTAATTTAATCTCTATTGAGCCCTTTACATCTTCTAGATTAGTTCTCGTTAAAAATTGAAATTTATCTAGTTTGCAACGAATCAAGTTGGGTCATGGAAAAACTTTTGGTTCAACTGTTAACTGTTCACATTTTTTTATCGATGTCTAAACATATTTTTAAAACATTAATTTTCAAATCAACTCCATATATCTATTGGAATGACAATGAATTGAATTGATCTGGTTGAACTCGACCCTAGTCTTGTGCCTTCATGGACTCAACGCCCATGAGCTAGAAGCAGTATCGAGCTATCCAAGCCTATTACATCCATACATGACCGTCAAATATTTATTGCCCTGAATATTAATATTCTTGGTGGAGTTAAACCTACCAAGGATTCTTAACAAGTGGAGATAGACATGGATGAGATAAGTGATGCCAAATTTTGGATGGTTGTTAACCACTTCCTCTAATTCTTCAAAGGAGAAGATAATACCAAATTAAATGTCTTTGGTTTTGCAGTAGAAAACGAAACCAAAATTTGGAAGTATATGGGAGAATTTCTTGCATTTCCCACACTTGAAAGGCATTAGCGGACAAAACTGATGAAACTTTTCTTTTGTCTTTGTTAGGACATGTTTTTGGCACTTTGTGATTGATTCTTCAAGAATAATAAAAGTCTTCAGGCACCCCCACCTTTGATTCTTCCGTCCAACATACGTCATGACAATACCCATATGGCCATTTTAGACCAATTTGCTGGCAATGCAATTAAAGAACAAAAATAGTATGCAACCATTGCACCATGATGTGACATTTTTAGAGATTATTTTAGCACCCCTTTGACCCCATTATCAGTCATTATTGGAGATTTTAATATTTAGAATAGTGTTTTTTGAAGAATAAACAGTTTGAAAAAAAGAAATAATTTTGAATTTATATGTAATATTATTTTATTAGAAAATGTGATTAATAAGAAGAGAGTAAAAAGAGAATTATAATTTCTACCCATTTTCTAGAATTTATTTTCAACTACGTATATTATGAGATTCATAATTTTTATCAGTTTTTCAATCGCATTCATCAAATTTTATTAGAATCTACTAAAAATTTAATTTTTAATTAAATCAAACATGTGCAAAAGGTGCAAAAGCAATTTCAAGACAATTTCGTTGCAACTCAAAGAACAATTTTCTTACAAAAAATGCATAGATTTTGAAAGAAAAAGAAAGGGAACCCAAAAAGGTTCCGATTGATTCAAACACAGTTTGGCATTCCATCTTGCTTTCTCTATCACTATTCTCAAATCTAACAAAGTCAAGAGATGAAAATGTAATTCCATAAACAATTTTTGTATTTTAGCATTGTTCCACTCAACTGAGGAGATCACGGATTTACAATAGCTTTTAAAAATATATTTGCCGTGTTAGATTGAACATTATATAAATTTAACAAGATGTCTCAAATCAAATGATTCTACTCAGCCTCTACAATCCTCTACTGACCATTGTAGTCAATTTTTAATCTTTCGAGTTTCGTAAATTCTTCAATGAAATTTCAACTTCTCTCACCTACAAGAAGTTTGTACTGCTGTAATATCAAGTGGCAAGGCATTTGCACGTGAAAGGAAATGAATTACGCGATTCTTTTTTGGTAATCATGTTTATTCACGTCGAGTTTAACTTATTAAAAATGATATTTGCCACATTATTTCTATAATAATGCATTTTTGAATAGTGTATTGATCGTAAATGAGTGGTTAAAAAATAAGGAAATTTTTTGAATTTGCGTGTAATATTATTTTATTGAAGAATGTGTGCTTGAAATGATGTCAAATCACTGATTACGAATGTAGAATGTATTTTTTGAAAAAAAAATTGTGGATCAAACGGGGCTTGAATTTTAAATTCGCAAGTAATTCTCCATATATCATTTTCTCCGTGGAGAGAAAATGACAAAAGTGATTTCCAATGAGAACAATTATCAAGAAACGTTACATGGTCTCAAATTTATCAGGGAAGAAAAAGTGCAAAGGAGCACTGCTTCACACAAATTCAATATTCCTCGACATGTAAAACGACACCAAATCAGTCACGACAAAAGCTAACCCCTGAAGCATTGTCGACAACACAACGTTGTTTTGTTGAATCAATTCTTTCAAAACTGACAATTCCCGTTTCTCAGCCTTGAAATTGCACAAAACCTTTCTCTCTCTAATATATAAATCTATAGATAAACCAGAGTGTTTTGAGGAGTCGGTGGGATTTTTCTTAGGGGCTTTCGTGGTTTTTTATGAATTGGAAAACCGAGAAAGGATTTTAGAAATCTCGACCTGTATTGGTGAGTTGTTGCTACTGTTTTTTTTTACTCTATTATATTTTTTGACAAATTGTTGCAGTATGTGGATAGAAGTTCTTTGGTCTTGTGAATTTTGAGAATTTTTTCGAGGCATTTAATTAACATATAACGATTTTTGTTGTTGTTAATTCTAGAATTATTTGTACGAAACCGATGTTTCAAGAAGATGGATCATCATCTGTAACCTCGTCACCACTTCAAATGTTTCCGATGATGTCCCTTTCACCTGGTTTTATCTCACCACATCCATGGCTTAAGGATCTTAAACCTGAGGAGAGGGGGCTATATTTAATACATTTGTTAGTCACTTGTGCAAATCATGTGGCCACAGGCAGCCTTGAACATGCAAATATAGCCCTCGATCAAATTTCCAATCTTGCTACTCCCGATGGTGATACGATGCAGCGACTCGCTTCGTATTTTTCCGAGGCTCTTGCTGATAGGATCCTTAGAACTTGGCCTGGTATTTACAAAGCATCTCGTTCGACTAGGATTTCGATTGTTGCAGAAGAAATTTTTGTGAGGAAAATGTTTTTCGAGTTTTTGCCGTTTATGAAGGTGGCTTTTGTGATCACGAACCAAGCTATTATTGAAGCCATGGAAGGAGAAAAAATGGTTCATGTTATTGACTTAAATGCAACAGAACCTGCACAATGGCGTGCACTCATTCAAGATTTGAGTGCTCGTCCTGAAGGTCCACCTCACTTGAGAATAACGGGAATCCATCAGCAAAAGGAGGTTTTGGAACAAATGGCTCATGTATTGATCGAGGACGCGGAAAAGCTGGATATCCCGTTTCAGTTTAATCCCATTATTAGCAAACTAGAAAATCTGGATGTGGAAAAATTGCGCGTCAAAACTGGGGAGGCTCTAGCAATTAGTTCCATTATGCAGTTGCATTCCCTCTTGGCCTGCGATAATGAACTCAAGAAAAAGTCCCCGTCCACGCCAATGAGTGATTTTGGAGTTCACTTACGAAGGGTCGCACAAATGAACCACGGCACTTTAGGGGAATTGCTTGAAAAAGATATGGTTAGTGCTTATAGTCCATGTCAAGATTCGGCTTCTTCTTCGCCACTATGTACAACAGCATCAGCAGATATTGATAACTTTCTTAGTACTTTATGGAGTTTGAACCCAAAGGTCATGGTGGTGACTGAACAAGATTCTGACCATAATGGGAAGAACCTAATGGAGAGGATATCCGAGTCTCTGTACTTTTATGCTGCATTATTTGATTGTATGGAGTCGGCTTTGCCAAGAGCATCTTTGGAGAGATTGAAGATGGAGAAGATGTTGTTAGGCGAGGAGATCAAGAATATTATTGCTTGTGAGGGAGCCGAGAGGAAGGAAAGACATGAGAAGCTTGAAAAATGGGCTCAAAGATTTGATTTGGCTGGTTTTGCTAATGTTCCTTTAAGCTATTATACTATGTTGCAAGCGAAGAGATTGCTTCAAGGTTATAATTGTGATGGTTATAAGATCAAGGAAGAAAATGGCTGTGTGGTGATCGGCTGGCAAGATCGACCCCTTCTCTCTGTATCAGCTTGGAGATTTAGGAGGTGAAATCTTTATAGATTCACTTGGTGTTCTTTTTTTCTTTTTTTTTTTTTTTTTTTTTAGTTGTCACTTCCTTGTTCATCTGTTGTTAATTTGCAGGACAAAACTTTATCTTGTCCTAATTAGAAATAGTCGTATAACTTCTATGTTCTTCTCCACCCCCGTTGGAACGTTTGTTGAAGAATCTTTTGTAATTAATTTCCAGTCCAGCTCAATTAAAGAGATCATGCTTGCAAAGTTCTATATGTTTTACTCGGAATCTCCCTCGAATAAGGGAAAAATAGGAACTCTCTGTTTTTGCTGCCTGCCAAGCTAAAATCCAATTTCTATGACTCCCTTTTCCGGCAAAGGGACTCTTCGTTTAGTACGATTGATATATTATGATGAATCTTACGGCTTCTTCATTCTGTCATATTATTGTATAATATGTCTTGGCATCTTTAGCTTTGGATCAAAAGCATTTTTTCCATGCTGCCATCTTAATTGTATTGGTGGCTCCGAGTAGGCAGATAAGGGCCGAAGTGAGGTATTATTTTCGGAATGACCTTTCTACATATACATCAAGCTTTGTATAATGGATTACATAATGTCACGTCACTCTATCATTTGCCAATTTAAAACACGATCAACTTTTTCATCCAATCTTTTTCCTTCACATCATTTTACGTAATCTTTTATTTATAAGTAGCATAATCCTTTTTGGAATTGAACTCCTTCTACAAATGAAATGTAATTTTTACATATGATGAGGTGGCAATACTTGGCTGGTTTGAAGAATTTTTTTTTTTTTTATCCAATATCCCAGGTGGTAATTTGTCAAATTGTCCGGCAAAAAGTCCTATACATGTAGCAGGATTGTTATTTCGAAGAGCTTTAAATCTTTACGTGAAACCTGAATTTGTAGTTATTCCTGCATTTCATATTTGATCTTACATTTGGTTGAAGTTAGTGGTGCCAGCCGAGTCAGGCCACTCAGCCAGGCCGGTTGCGGAGAGTGATGGTGTGGTCTGTTTACAGGTCCGGCTCTAGCCACGCCAGGCCAGGAACTGTGACTCTTGACCGTGTATTTTATCAGGTTATGAAACTGTAGGTTCATTCTTTCTTCTATCTTTATCAAATGACTTGCAAGTTACATCTGTCCATAACTATATATAATAACTGACATCTAATCCGAACAGGCCTTCGTGGTGAAGAATTTAGTTTACTTGTATCTTAGACAATTTGTAACAAATCCATATTCAAACCTCTTAGATTTGCTGCATGTGAGCCTCCATGAAGGGACAAAACAGGCATTAGAATGTCAATTGAAAATCATGTCACTCTGATTTTAAAGGTAAAATAAACAAATTAAGATATATCTCCCATGGCATCTTTTTATTGCTGTAATTATAACTTTTAAGTAATGAATTTTACACGCTATAGGTTCCTAAATTAGTTGATTAATTAAGTGCATTTCTACTCACATTATGTTGTATTGGTTTTCGTAGGCTAAATCTTGAATTTGAAGGTAAATAAAGCAAAACGAAGTAATTTGGAGATTAATTTGGACAAAATGATGGAATTGCATGATTGCTGCAAAGTACAAGGACATGGTAACGTTCATAAATTTTGGGGATTAAAATGGACACTTGAAGAAGTTTAGGACCAAAATGGCGAAATCAAGAGTTTAGGGACCAATTTGGATAAATGAATAAAAAATTGAACATATGAAAAGTTCAATGACCAAAAATGATGAGATGGAAGTTTGAGGATTAATGTAGAAGAAAATTGAAAGTAGAGGAGTGAGTTGAAATAATTAGAGAAAGCTACCGAATACGCGCCACCAAAAGGGGAAAAATAAATGTAAGCAAGTCATGGCGATATGTTTCAAGTATTGTCGACGAGTTGCAAGGTATACAAAAATTAGGTATTTCTAATAGCCCAATGTGTGTGGGTTTCCTTATAATCTCTTTATAAGGAGATTATGATGAGAAGAGTAATTATGATTGGACTTCGGTTCGATTCTAATGAGAATCGAATCGATCCGAAATTTTCGTGTATTTATTAAGTGGAATCGTCGGGTCCAAATTTAGTTATGGAACCATTCAATTTCGGTTCAGTTCCATTTGGTTATCAAATTTTGTATTATAATTAAGTTTTCTAATATTTACAAAGTTACGTGAATTCAACTAATGAATGTTCAATCTTAACTCTTACAAAATAACATAATCCAATTTTATGTGTCTTTTGCATCTTTCTTTGCTGAGTTTTTCATATATTTGATTGTTAAAATCACAGAAAGAGAAAGATAGCGAGATCAAAATAATTAAGAAAGACATTATCGGGCTTTAATTCGATTTCTCCAGAACAATAGGAACATCACTATAGTGGAGTAACAGATTTGGATAAAACTTAGGTTAATTTGATTAAGTTGGCTTTGAACTGAAAATTAAAAATAGGAAAATCATATTTTTTTTGTTCAAACTAAATTAATTAGTTAACAAATTTATATAGAAGAAATAAAATAATTTTGCTTATTTAAAATAAATTAATTAAAAAATTAGGGATATTCAGGTCTTAATTTAGAACCGAGAATAGAATCGAACCCGTCGATTCTGGATTCAGATACTCGTTCGAGTATTTAATTTAAGAAAAATCGCTTGGTTCAGTTAAGTTCGAATCGGGGTCGGTTCGATTTAGGAGTTTTGTTCAGCCCTAAGAGTAATGAATTCTATGAGATTTGTCAATAGGTTTAGACAAAATTTTCGATCCCAACTCGACCCCGAACCTATTCGAACTAAGTTGAGTGATATTTTTTAAGTTAAATACCCGAACTGGTATCTAAATCAAGAACCGAAGGATTTGGTTCAATTTTCGATTTTAGATCAAAAATCGAAGAATCTTATAAGATCCGAATCTCCCTAAATTTTTTATCTTAAATAAGTCAAATTATTTTAATTTTTTCTAAATAAATGTGGTATCTAATTAATTTAACCCAAACCTAAAATATGACTTTTTTATTTCTAATTTTCCATTCAAGCCCAACTTTATCAAATTGATCTAAAATTTATCCAGATATTTTATTTTACCGTAGTGTTGTTTATGCCATTTTGGAGAAATTGAATTGGAAGCTCGGTTGCGCCTCTCTTCAATATTGTGAGCTCGTAGTCTTCCTCTTCCTATGATTTTAACAGTTAAATTTATGAAGAACTTAACAAAGAAGGGCGCAAATGATATCACGGGATTGGATTACGTTATTTTGTAAGAACCAAAATTGAACATGTCATTGGTTAAATTAATATATCGTTGTAATATTAAAAAAATTTAATTATTGCACGGAATCAAGCATCAAATAGAATCGAATCCGAACGATTCCACAATTAAATTTGGAACCGACAATTCTACTTACTAAATACTTAAAAATTCGATTCGATTCATTTTCTTTAGATCTGAATCGAATCGAACCATGTACAGCCCTACACGTGTATATAATCAATGGTCGTAGTCGTGCATGTGTACTTAAAATTAAATTTGACTTTGATAAAAAAAATTTAAGTAACTTATATAACATTTTTCAAAGATACCATTACAAGACTCTGGCTGTTAAAACACCATGTACAACTAGGGAAGGCCAAAAAAATCTGTTCAACCTGATACTCGTGGGGACCTGTCCCGAATGGGGCGGGTAATACCCATCATTGCCCTGAAGCGAATGTGGGACGGATATGGAAAATATAGTCACTGCTCCGTTACTCGCCTTGTTGAATGTTAATTTCAAATTTAAATTTTTATCAAAAAAATAATAGATTTATCATCATTTTTAAAGAGAACACAAGTTGTTTTTAACAAATTAGTAAAAAGTAATACTATTTACTAAGGACATAAAAAATAAAAGCTAAAAATTAAAAAAAACAAAAAGAAAAAATAAATGGGGCAGGAGACTTGCGCTGTCCTGACCCGATGCCGCCCAGTCCTGTTTTAATCGGGTATGGATATGAGGTAAGATAATAAAAATACCCGACGGGACAAGGGGTGGGAATGACCGATCCCTCCCATACCTACTCTGTTGCCATTCCTATGTACATACATTACCATTTTGGGAGAGACCCGTTTAGAAACATGGAAATAAATCTCTTAGGGAGAAATCAATGACGAGACTCGTGCAATTATTGAAGATCCACGCTTTAAAAATTCTGGGTTTATTGGGATTGAAAAGATTCACTCCGTCTTTTTGTATAATAAATAAATGGATGATGTTTATGTCAACTTCTTCTTATTTTGATTCTCATCGCCAAAGATTAACTAGTACTCCATAGAGTCAAAATACGAATTGATCATAAGTAGAGTTTGTTACTCTTTTGTCTACGCGACAGGCCACGTGATTGCCAATTAATTAAAATGCCACGCAATCAATTCTTCTCTGCAACAATGAGACTATCTACCATTGTCTCGACCACCTTCAGTTTCGAGACGTCGAGAGCACAATCCAATGCATCATCAACACAACTTTAAAGGCAACATAACTTCGTATATGACTTGTCACTTTCCCTCTTTCAGGCGCTCAGTTGAGACCCAACTTAGCCCCCATTTGGATTCCATTTTAATTTTAATACATTTTTCTCTTTCTTCTTTTTCAATAAAATAATATTACATGTAAATTCAAAATTTTTCATTCTTTTTTAATAATATATTCTCTAAAAAATTACTATTTCAAAATATTTTTCTTTTCCAAAACCTCATTAAAATGGAGCATATACAAAGGCTTAATCACATTAGATGGGCTTTCGGAGTTCGAGGCGATTGGATTCTATCCCTGAAGGTTGAGTCACATACGGTTTGATTGATGTGCATCTCTGTAAGGGCGGTTGGGAGTCAAATCTCATCCTTTTTGTACAAGACATTATGTGTGAGGTTGCAAACCTTTGATGTCTACGTTGTGACGTGCTGGAATTTGGCCTGTGAACCATCTAGATTAGATCTCATGTCAAACATCCAGAAAATCTTAATTTCACTCCTTTGCCTATAAATACTTTCACTAATGTCGGTTGAAGGTAATTGACAATTGGTACTTCTTAGTCTCAAAATATACACTTTCTTCTCGAGTTTTTTCTTCTTTCGTGTTGCTCCCACAACCATGTTTGACTTGAGCGATGAAGTGTGTACGATTGCAGTTTTCCCCGCTTTTGTTTGGAGAAGTATCGATTCGCATCTCTTACGTGTACGTTCAAGCGTGCAAGTAACATTCACGTGAAGAAGAAAAGGAGTAGAGATGTGTTGACACGCTGTATCCCAACTAGATTCAAATGTAAACATGATTAATTAGTAAAATATGGATGCTTAAATATTTCATTAATTGATAGCTACATCATTATTCATTCTCTTCATTGTTATTAAATTATTGATTTTAGTTGTTAGTGAGGAAACTTAAACTCAAAACATAACTCTTAAATCCATGTGTTCCTATTGGGTTGCTTTTAATACAATGCGATCAAAAATCAATTTTCGTTCGACGATACTCTGTTCACTTTATCTTATCAATCATTAATATGTTGAAAAATTTAATGCATCTTTGGTACATTAAAAAAGATAAAATAAGACATAAGTCATTAAATAGTAAAAAATAGATCTCGCGTACAAGTCAACTATGAATACGTTCAGTCCTATTAAGTTTAACATATCATCTTAACATCTTTTTAAATTCTTCCTCGAATTCGACTTGTATTCATATCCAAGGCTTTATACATTCTTTTTTCTCTTAATCCCAAATTATTTTCATTTTTAGAAATTGGGCCTAAACAAGGCTGTTTTAGCTGGGCCTAGGTCAACGCAGCCCAGTTGATATTTACACGGTACCCTGGCCCTTTATTTTATACAGCCTTCCGCGCCAGTTTTAAATTTACACTCGAATTCTTGAACATGCAGTTGAATTTAATCGCCATTCTTTCATAATTTTTTCCCCGAATCCTAATGGAAGTAGATGAAGATCTACGTGAAATAGGGTTTTAAGGATTGGAAACTTATATATACAGTACTCGTTTTGTATCTCCAAATTCAAAATCAGATTTCTCCCTGTAACAGATTTCTTGATTTCGGAGAAATGGAATAGAATTCTAGGGTTTACAATCACTTGAAATTTGATTTCCGACATAGAAATAGAAAGATGACGTCTGGAATGGATCACAAAATACCAGCGTTCAGAGTTAATCAAATTCGGAATTTCATCAGCCGATGGCTCTTGCGAATTTATTGGGGAGAAATCTCAATCAACTGATCGGCGAAATCGGAGATGAACAATTTGATGTATTCTTCGGAAGCGATACAGTGATTCCGTCACAAGAAAATCTAGTTCCATATTCTGTGAAAACCCCCGAAAAAGCAGTGAAAAAAGAGAGGGAAATTGAGTCCACCGATTGCGATTCAGAGGCAGTAGATTTGTCATTGCGGGTGTATGATCATAGTGCTCACAGGGAGAAGCAGAGAAAAAGGAAAATTTCCAAGAATATGCACTCGAGGAAGAAGTGAAAGCGAAGATTCAAAGATGTGAAGAGTAGGCGCTAGTATCGTTTCTTGATTTTTAATTTTTTTACATAAATTTTAGGAATTTCTAACCCGTATGAGTTAGAATTGATGATTGTTTTGAATATACTAAAAGGGATTTCTGCCCCTTTGATTTGATTTCGTTTTTATGTAAATAACTCATTAACATGCAGGGGATTGGATAGTAACCGAAGTATCAGGGAGCGAAAAAGTTAAAATTTTGTTCATATACTAATCGTTCTGTCCGTTACTGTGTACTAAAGTTGCATGACCAATAAATTGACTAGGTAGATTGGATATAATAATCCTACCTAATGCTTGAGAATTGAATTAGACATGCAATACATTTTATATGATAGATTATACGGTAATTTGTACTAATCATTTATGTCCTATTGTGAATTTGTTAAGTGTTTTGTTTGACATGTCTTATATATAAATTACTTTTTCTTAAACTTATTTTAATCATGCATTCTCTAAATGAAAGAATTTTGCACATGAACCCATACTTTTTTTTTTCCTAATTATACATTCTTTTAAAAAATTATTCTTTTAGGTACCTAGTTTACAATTTTCTATTACTCATTCTTTGAAACAATAACATCACCATCGTCAAACATACCATTTTCTTTATTAATATATTTATGGACAAATGAATTTATAACTAATAATATAATTTGTGCAATTGAAGAACAAATAATTAAAGACTTTGACGAGAAGTCACAACTTGAACTTGGACATGTTTGAAAATACTTTTTGTGTTTTAGTAGGTATGATCCCTTTTCCTCCATACTTGATTTTCCTTTCTTTGAGAAACTTTGATTAAATTAATCAGATTGAAATCCAACGGCTAATGAAAAAGGACCCACATTTTGGATATATCTGCTGAGTATGGTCCACAAGGGAACAAAACCATAGAAGTCCAAAGGCCACGTGGTTACCTAAAATTGCATTGCTTTTTTCATTCTTTAGTTAAAAAAGAAAAATTGTTTATGCCTCAATCCTCAGAAGTTTTAATTTTGCCCCCCTCTATATAATAAATCGTTCAAACCGCATACATAAAGAAAATAAGTCATAGCTCACCCTAAAAAAAAGCTGCTTATGGCTAATTACTTCTTGCAAAACATTAAACAATCTTTCTCATTATCAGACATTGATTCCAACATGGAATTTATGAACCCTTTTCCAGAAATAAATCCAAGTTATGAAGATACATCAGTCTTGAACCTGCAGAACTTGATGGGATTTCCCAATGACAATATTTTTCCTCATTTAGTACCCGAATGCACTGGTATCTCAGAAGATTTTCCTGGTTTGTTTATCCATGAGGACAAGAATTTTGTGCCTCAAACTGCAAATGATCATCTTGCGGAGAAGAAAAGGAAAGAAATCGACACCTCACAAAGTAGTGGGGCTAATTTATCTGCCCAAGGTTCATTAAATGGTGTTACAAGGAAAAATGTAAGTGGATTGAATTTGTTCATTTAAGTTTTTTAGTTTGATCTTTGTAGTATATGAATTCATGGGATTTTCTTTTTATCTGCAGAGTGCAGGAAGAGGGAAAAGGGCGAAATTAAACGGAAAGGAAGAGGAGAAACGAAGGGATGTGGTACATGTTAGAGCTAAAAGAGGCCAGGCCACTGATAGTCATAGTTTAGCAGAAAGGGTAAGTTCAGCCCTTCCCCTCGGGCATTTCTACGCCCACCTAAGGCCCTCAATATAATAAAGAAATACTTATGATCATTAGTAATATAATAGCTGCCTGATTCAGGCGAGAAGAGGAAAAATCAACGAGCGATTGAGATGTTTACAAGACATTGTTCCTGGATGCTACAAGGTGATTTTTCACGTTCGTCTCTCTTTATTGTATATATGGAGAGAAGCAGAATCTTGTCTAATTATATTTGAATGCTTAATGAAATAACAGACAATGGGCATGGCAGTGATGTTGGATGAAATCATCAATTATGTGCAGTCCTTGCAAAGTCAAGTTGAGGTAAGGGGAAGTACTAAACCATAAAATAACTTATACTAAATCAATAAATTCTGTCTGAAAATTCATAGACACTTGATAATAATTCTCTTGTGTCCTTTGATTTTCAGTTCCTTTCTATGAAGCTTACAGCAGCAAGCATGTTTTATGATTTTAACTCAGAAACAGATGCATTTGAGACAATGCAGGTCCTTCTCACAACCTTAATAATCTCAAAATCATGTACGTTTATTCAAATTTGAACGATTTATAGAGATAAAGTTTCACGTGTTTTTGTACATGTGTTGCAGCAAGAGAAGGCGTGCGAGGCATTGAAGATGCAGAAGATGGCAAAGGAAGGATGTGAGGGAATAAGTTCAGCTCAATTTGGTTCATTAGACCTCTCTTTTGGCAATTATCCCTCTTGGCCAAGGAACACTTGAAGATGACCCAAAAATTTCCCCCTTCTTTTTCAATTAAATTTGTATCAAAACAAACCAGACATGGTGAAAAATTGCAGATTTCAAAAGCTAAACACTATTGTATCCTCTCTCACATTTTTCAGAATTTAACCAATTATTGATTAATTAAACATGTAATTTTATTTCGTGCCATTTATTAGAAATAATGTTAAGCTTTCTGATATGGTTGAACGCCCTTGGGATAATGTTATCTTGAATAACTCAACAGTATTTGACAGTACAATGGACAAACAATCGAATGATGCTTGAGGCAAATGCCAATTGTAGCCAACTATGTATGTTTTTTATTTCCAACAAGGATGTCATTAAGGAGGAAACTGTTCCTTACTATTTAGAAATAGACTTTGTCTTGAATTAATTGACAGGAGTTAAAACATGTGGATATTTTTTCATGGCATGTCTCTTTTCTATCTTTAATTTTTTTCTTTCTATTTAAGAACTTGTTTTATTTATTTATATATATATTTTTTTTGAGTGGCTGTCTTTACTTGCTCGTCAGGACTTAATAGTAACCAAATTTGATCGAGAAGGATCAACTAAGTAGACATTTCAATTAATTGTCACCAAGGGTAGGGACATGAACAACTCCATTATTAGCAAAAACTTGTCCCATGTGTCATTATCACTCTAGTAAATTCTTATCTTTGCACTATATATGTGAAAAATTAAATATCGATAACAGTGTTTGAGTTTGTGTTTGATAGATACGAGTTCAATACATGTTCAAGTGAGCTGAATCATCACTGTTTAATAGCTTTTATTGTTTTTAGCTTTTGTGAAGTATGATTTCCTTTGGTAGGGTGCGTTTTGACACATCTAAACACGTCTAAAGATAGAGTTTCTCCATGTGACTCCACTTTGTTGGGATATCGTCAATGTTAGTTGTCTTACTTTGTGAACTAACTTAGTGAATTAAGCTAGACTTCAGCTAGTAAGGCAAACTTGGTATTGGACTTGGCCGCAAGTCTAAAGAGTGATTATCCTCGCCATGATTGAAATTATTACATCAATCGACCTCTACTAGTTTGCTTATTACTCAATATTCTCTCTACGTGCTAGATCATTGGTCCTCTGTCTATTGATAATTCTGAAGATAGGTCAATGACATGGAATCATGATGAACAATTTCTTGATTTCACATCTATTCCATGTTCCATCTTTGCATAATTACCACTCAAGATTTTGATAAGAACTTAGGGGTTGCACATAACTTAAAACTGTCTCATCCAGCTTGCCTTTCAACGTCTTTTGTCCTCCATAGACTCTAATAATGGGTTGAATTTGGACAGTTGTATATGATCAAGAATGAAGATGAAAGGAACAACCATTCTATCTTAATTCCATTTTTTGGTCACTTTCATACTTCATAGCTTAAATAATTTTGAGTACTTGTAATTTATAAAACTAAGATACTATTTTAGCATGTTTGGCTCAACTAAACGTCATCCAAATTCAACTTTGAAAAGAGGTTAAACTTAATTTAAACTTGTTAAAAATTTCAATATATATATATATATTAGTTGATGGGATGATTAGATACCCAATCACCCTTAAGATTTGAAATCTTGAAACATGACCCATATAAGACCAAAGGTGTTGGCACTTAGAATTTCAGAGAACAAATTTCAATAACAAGAAGCACTTGACATATCCATGTCGACAAAGGCAAGTGGAACCTACAAAATAATGCAAATTCTAAATCTCATGGATGTTGCCAATTCATCAAGTAAATGATTGAGAAGGACATCCCAATCAAACCCCTAGATTATTTACATTATAAACATTTGTAAAATTACACCATCGACTCCCAACTTATTGTTTCAACATTTCATTTCTGGTTGTGTAATTAGCCCCTAAAAATGGAAATCGTCCAAACCTTCATTAAATTGTCATATACACCGCATGAAAATATGTCTCACCTCAATTTTCTTAGTCCTTGCCCAATTTGAGAAACACCACAGAGTTTTTTCATATGGGACATGAGGCATCACGTAAAGATTTTACAAAGATTTGGATTATTTTTATTCAGGGACGAATTGTGCAAGTAAAACGAAAGGTTAAGAACTCACTTGCTCATTTTTAAAGACCAAGGAGAAATTTACTATTTTGGAATGATAATATCATATTCCATGAAGTTATAATTTTATTTCTTAATATGAAGAAGTGAACTAAGCAGATGCATTGAACCATGAGAGGACAGCTTGAATGGGCCATAGATTGCCCTAAAGAAGATAGGCATTGTGGGTTCTCCAAATTCTTGAAATGATAAGAGTTTATGAACCTTTCAGGTCACTTTTCTACTTCTTTTCTCTCAAATCTCTCTAATTTGACTTCCTTTTGACTAGGTTTTTGCCTGTCTCTTGGAGAATATGCATGAACAAGGAGGATGCATAGGGTTTTCTGGGTCCCACTTTTAACATATTGGATAGAGTCGTATTCCTAATAAGGATTGAGGGTCACACATGAACATATATATATCAGGTGATAGGTGGGACAGATCCCCTGAAAAGAAACTAATTTGTGCAAGTTCAAGGATCCTAAGTTGGTGCACTGTTCATTATCAAGATTTTAAGATGGTGGGAGTTGTTGGATTGTCACTAATAAGTAGTGCTAATTGTTCTTAATTTGTTTTGGTATTATTCGTCTCGCTCGGGTGAAAAAAATGATGGGTACATGTTCTTGCACAAATTTTTGCATTAGATTACTTATGATTAATTATAATGAAATCTTGTTAAAGATTTTGTTTGATTACTTCATACCAATGATTTAAGCCCCAGATTGTCTACCATTATTTTAAAATTCTTTCTTCCTCTAAAAAAAATAAATCATTTTCAACCAAATATTTTATCACTACAAAGTTAAAAATAATTTTATCTAAATAGATAAATAAGATTTTAAGTTATGATGTTATCTATAAATGTAATTATGATTTGGAGACTCATTTTATTACAATCTTTATAAGCATGTATGAAATTCCTATAAATCTATTAAGTAGAACTTGTCTAGTTGAAAACTAAAACTATGAAAAATTTCTAATTTTTACATTTCGAAAGCTTGAAAATTGTAGTAAATATTGTATTTTATAATTTTAGATGTTTAATATATATTATTTTAATTATTAAATAATTTTTAGAAAGATTAAAAATTTAAAATAATAATAAATAAGAAAACACTTTTTTACGTTAAGACTTATCTAGGCTCGTTTAAGCTCATAGAGCTTAAAGTTTCGACTTCACACCTAGCCACGTTTGGTTTTTTAGAAAATTGCTTCTTAGATATTTGAATTTCTAACCTTCACTTTTCTTAGCAGTTGATAAGTTTGGATAATTACAGCAGAAAAAAAAAATCATAAAGCCCTGTTTGGTAACGAATAAAATTAAGATTTTAATGTAAGTCAGGTCAGTAATTTATTTTAACCACATATTTAATGAAATCACAACTTTTTAACGTACATTTTATTATTTTTTATCAAAATCTATTAAAATTTTTATTTTAATCCCATCAAATGGGGTCTAAGTTGAGTGAAAAATAATAATTACACTCTCGTGTTAAAATTTAATAATAAAAAAATCATTGTATTGTTAGGTGGTTTGAGTCCACCTCGGCTATGCCATGAGTTCTTGGAAAAGTGGAGAATGATACTTTGCCTACGATTAAGGAAGGTCATTTCCTATATCTTGTCAATTTTTCGAAGATCATATTAGGAACTCTTTTTCCTCATCCAGATCGAGGGTCGGTTTCAATATCTAAGGCTTTCAATAGTAAAATGAATGTTTTTCCATCTTGATTTTGAAAAATTGTCCTCAACTTGTAAGGACGAAAGAGCATTTACAAAGCTTCGTCAATTGCAACAAAGCAAGTCCAATAAAGTAATTTTTTGCTTTCATAGTCCTTTGTTGCTTTAAGCCTGACTCTTTCATTTTGTGCCTACTAATTGAATTTAACACCTATTTGAGCCCCCA